ACCATATGTGGATAAGTGGAGCCATATTATCTACTATTGACAATATGCTACAACCAAAACAACAGCATGGATCATAACTATTATTATACAAAGAGGACAGAGTCAATGCAATATAAAGAACCAAGTATAAGGTTAAAAGTATGCGTGGAAAAAATACAGAAATTGCACATAAAAATATTTGTATCGTAATACAGGGGTCAGGTCAAAACATTCATTTCCCACAAATGTAAATCCATACATCTTAAGGAATGGGGTTACAATGTATTTATTTTATTGTATGAACATTTAGTCTTGCTTTTACAAGGAAGGGTTTAAATCAAAGTGAAATTCATTATTCTTTGACAGATGTTGATTTAATGACCCAACCCCTAATTTAATATTTATAAACCGTGAATATGAACTTTTATTTAAGACTGATGATATCTCACAGGTCACATAGTGAAGTTATATGTCACATAGTGAAGTTATATGTCACATAGTGAAGTTATATAAAATAAACTGTAAACAGTTGCATGATATTAAAACACACATCAGATGTAGTTTTGTTTACATGTACATGAAGTATGCTGCTATCTTGTGCCATTAGTAGAAATATGTTTCTTTGAAGCTTTACAATTACAGCTGTACTCTCACTAATATTTGACGCTATATTTCGCTTTTTTTATTTTTATTTTGGAATTTTGCAGCTATTAATATTCACTAATTTTCAGTTTTTCAAAATTTTGCAGGTATTAATTTCTCGGATTTTTGATTCTCAAAATTTTTCTAGCTTCCTTTTTGATTTCATTGATTAAAATCGTATAGAACCTGAAATTAATTGAAGAAAACAGTACCTTCCTACCTTTTATCGCTCAGCAGTCAGTACTTGAAGGAAATATCATCAAGATTGAGTGAAATGAATTCCTGGGAATTTTGCGACTGATGTATTTTGCAAATTAGAACTAGGCCTATTGGAATTTCATAGGTGTTATATCTTGTGAATTTTTCAAAACTCGCGAAAAGCGTGTAACTATGTAGTAAGAGTACAGTCGGTAAAACTTGTATAAGTAGAAAGCCTTTCATACCTCAAAATAGTGTTACTAATGTGAACACATGTTCATTTTACAGTTTGAAGTTTATGGGTTTAACTGGACAAAAATGTGTGAAATGCAGAAGCGTTTCATCTTGCAGCTTGAAAAAAAATTGCAAACTGTTAAATAGAATATCTTGAAATGCCATTATTTTGCATTTCATATTAACTCCCAATCCAGAGTGCATAACTCTGTGACTTTATATTCTACATTGTATTTTAAGATATTCTATTTAGCTCAAAAATTCTGGAGAGTGTGCTATTGTAATGCTAATTATTATGAAATGGCTGCTTGTCAAAGAAGGAATTTCCAAACATTTGGATTGTTCTTTTATGTGTATTGTCTGAAGAAATAAAGAATGTTAACAATTTGATACCAATTTTTGACTTCTTTGACATGGATGAGCATGTAAATATAAATCTAATGTAGCGCTGTAAGTTATTAATTTGGTGCTTGGTGTTGAATCTTTACTTTAACACAAAGAACATGCAAATAGGCTGTTAATATTACACCTTAAAGTAGCAGTGAGGAGGGCAGAGTTAGGTCCAATGATCCTGGGCCTATTGTAAAGCGATAAGCTTTGAACATGTAATGACATTTAAAAATGTATTTATTTTTCATAAATACATATATAATCAGAATTTGTGCACATACCACGTGACACAATAAAAATTACACCCATCCACACAATGTTTCATAACTGTTTTTCTGAAGAAATTCTGGCTTGTTTTTCACTCATTAAAACTGTACTCCATTTTGCAACTCCACAAGAAGTTCCGGATGACTAGCTCACCTAGAATAAATGCACATTTATGAGTGTTACAAAATGAGTCGTCTATTCCTTTGCTGGCACAACTGGATCTTACACAAAAAACGGCACCCACCTTTTGTAACATCATTTTAGAAATAAGTTCTGATGATTTTATCAATGACAACTACATTATTTTGTGTTTTATTGAATGGACTTCATTTCCTTGAAAGAACAAGCCAAAATCATTAGTATTTACAAAGTTATGTTACAAAAGCTGGGTGACATTTTTTATGTAGAATCCATGTTTGTCTCGAAAGAAATGGCCAACATTTAGAGCAAATGTTGTAACGCTCATACAATTTGACCCAACTGAGCTACACATCTGAAATTTTTGGACATGCTTTCGCATTGTGTCTACTTAAATGTGCAAAAATACAAGTCTTTATGTTAATTCAACAACCGACCTCCAGAATTGAACACAATCAATTCCTCTGCTAGCGAGGGGAATCCCCATTGAGTCACACAAGCGCCTTGAACCAGGCACCCAATCAGGTTCATGATAAACAAATTCAACGACCAATCAGATAACAGGAGGACTTTCCTGGTATATTCAAACTTCAGATTAAATTAATTTCCACGAAAATAATTAGATTGGCCAGCACAATCGCATTTACACTGATAAAGGGGGATTTGGGACTTTTTCTATGGTAAGTAGATGGGTGAATTTGTGGTGAAACTCAATATGCAAAAAAGTCCAGAGTGGTCTTGATTGTGCTATCCTATGGAATAGAGCCTCTTTAAATAACCAAAAGTGGGTTATGGCCTGTATTATAATATTACTGATCTCAATATCCCCCCCAAAATATAACAAGATCACAACATATGACACAGGCTGATATTTCATCTTTAACCCTTTCACGACGATGGGCTCCATATGGAGCCCTATTATGTAATACCTTTCAGGACGATAGGCTCCTTTTGGCACCATAATTTTTATTTATATACATCGATGAAATGATAATATCTCCAGTTCTATTCAGTATTTTTACACCAAATTTTGACAAGTTGTTCTAATACGATAGTCCTTACTAAAAAATGTATTTCAGTGATAAAATTCAAGGTATAGGTCCCTGGGCATAGATAATTTTCAGTTTTCCCCTAAAAATTGCTCTTACTTATCCGTCACCAGGGCCAACATTTTCTTCTTATATTCACGTCGGGAAAGGGTTAACAGAATAATAGAGTAACAAGGCATTTAACATGCAAAATGTCACTACCAGCCATTTGTTGCAGATATAAACCATCAAACACCGTTCTAAAAAATATTGGAGACTTAACAATTGTCATCATTTGTGGTGATGACATAAAATCAAACCATTTCAGATTTATTTGAAATTGACCTTTATTATAAATCCTCATGAAGTCGTTCTTACTCCATAGGCCTCCATATTTTACATGAATTTTACACATGTCTCCTCTTATTTGTGGATATGAACTTTTATTATGTCACCACTGCAAGTGGTTCACCCAGTAGCCACATACATGTACTGAACTGCATGCAAATATTATAGGTTATCATATTCAGATGAAATGCATTTTAGAGTACATTGCAGAATGCAGATATCAATTGATTTTTTTGATTCATGCCTTGCAAATCTACTAATTTCTTTTGAGATATATTTTAAGGATTGGATGGGTTTATGATGTATATTAAAGGCAGTATCAGAGCTAGCAAGCTGGCAAGTAGCCAAGTGTTTCAGAATACTCTTGACGAAAATTGTTTCAATTTTAGAATATTTTGGGCTCATATCATTTTTTGTCGTGTCTATTTTCTAAGAATCCCCAAAGTGTATCCAGTACTTCATTTTAAGAAAACAGGATTTTTACAAATATGCATTCATTTATCTATAAATATGGTTACCACATTTATCATTTGGGAGAATCTAAATATTTTTCCCCATTTTTGAAAGTGAAAGTTAAAAAACTTCACCAAATGATAACATATCATGGTCGTGGATTTGGTTTGTCAACAGCTGTACATGATGCCTGCTATTTCGTCACTCCCTATAGATCTGATTCTGCATTTAAATATTGAAGCAACAGTATTAAGTACTAAATCATAGTACTAGGTACTTAATCATTTTGTATTATTTGAGCCTTGGAATGTCCAAATGGTCGCCCAAATTTGGAAAGGAGTATGGGAAGTATCGCAACAGATTTCAGACAGTCATATGTCAGATTTTGGCTATTTTCTGAGGATTTAAATAGGTGCAAATGTTAGGCCAATGCATTACCTCCAGGAAAAGCATTCATAGAGATGATAAAATAATTTTCGACTTTGAGACGGGAAGATGCAAACAACCCACCAACATGTTTTTTCTGAAATGTCCTGATTTTCAACCCCTTCCACCCCTGCTTTTTCAATTTTTGTTGCATCAATTTGTTGCGTTTTGACACACAGTTAACCCCTTTAAAGAAATAATGCATTCCTTCAGGAGTTTTAAAGATATCCATTATGGGTGACCAAAATTAGGCTGAAAGCATGAGTTTTCCCTATGGGAAAATGACATGGGAAATATTGTTTTCCACTTTATCTAAAAGGAATTTCTTATTCCTTTAAAGGGGTTAAACTGTGTGTCAAAACGCAACATATTGATGGAGGACATGAAAGTGAAATTTGGAAGAAAGGAAACATGACATCATAAGATTGTCATGGTAAAAATGCTTCGCTAGGTATGTAATACAGGGAGATATACAGTAAAACTTGTGTATAGTGAACATTTTTTTGCCAAGAAAAAACGTTCACTGTAGGTAGGTGTTCACTAGAGAGAGGGTAATTTATACAGAAGTCAGTGGACTATGTGCGTAGGAAGGGTGTCCACTAGGGATAGGTGTTCACTAGAGAGAGGTGTTCACTAAGACAGGTTTTACTGTATATAAGATTACAAGGAAATTATAGGTAGGTCATTTGTGCATGATGCTTGGAATTTTGTCAGCCCCTATAGATCTGATTCTGCCTTTAATTACAAAATTTTAGTTTTTGGCTTGCATGGTTTAAAACTGGACCTATGACAGAGCTTTTGAAACATGCTAGGTTTGTTGAAAGACAGACATTTGGATGGAGGGACAGTTAAGTGAGTTATTGCAATAGGTAGATAGGTCACACCACATTCTTATTGTATGGATGTAAATGGTTTATTTGCCAAATAAACATTTCAAAAATTTTACATCAAAATGGTTGGGGCTATATTCTGAACAATGTCTACATCATTATTATTATTGGTGGTAATTGTTACTAAAATAATTTACAATCAAGTAACTATTGATCAGCTGGAACTATGTATTAAGTGGGATCTGGGAATAAACAAGTCCACAGATACTCTTCACACTTCAATAATTATTAAATATAAAGAGGAGCTCAAGTTACTGAAACAAGTCATTAAGATAATCATTCATTTCTTCCTCTCTTGATTTTTCCTCTTGTATTTTGACTGGGCCAGACCATATTGAAGTTATCTCCTGGCATTTGGGTGCTTCAGACTCCTTAGTGTTAGATATCTGAGGCTCAACCCATGTTGGACTGTAACGCCCACTCTCATGTCGATCTTTCTCTGAAGTTTTCATCTTTTTATGACTTTTCCTTTTAGTTACTTCTTTCTTTTTGTGATGATAGTTCAGTTTATATGAGCAGTCTGCACAAAGTCGCAATTTCACAAGAGCATTTTTCTTTGTCCCTTTCTCTATATAACCAAAGTTCACCTCCCATGTCCTCAGACCTTCTTGCACCGTACACTTTTTATTTCCACATACGAACTGCCCTTTTCCTTCTATTACCTCCTTCTCTATGCACCATCTTAAAGCAACCTTATTTTCTTTATAGCGACTTAGATCACAGATGGCATATTCTTTGAAAAGTTTTGTATAATATTTCTTAGCAAGTCTTCTATCCCATGTGTCATCAGCTTCACCTTCATCCTCATCCCAAAGGAACTGATGGTTTTCACGAATCACATCAATATCTCTTTTATCTTTACGTGTATCTCGATAAATGTCTTTCATAGAGCCACCATAATACTGTATATAATTGTTCACTAACTGTTTATGACGTGCAAATGCATCTAAAGATAAATTGTGGAATCTATGGATTTTTCCTTCCTCTTTATTGTACTGATCTGTTACTTCATGTTTGGAAGCTATGCCACTTGTTGAGTGCTTAGCTTTAGGGATCAGATCACTACGCTTTCTTTTTTTCCTTTCAATGTCACTATCATTTTCAAATTCAGACCCATAGTCTCCATTGTATGCCATTTTTGAAAAATAAATTTCAAATAAAATATGGAGATGATAGATGATAGAGTACTTGGGTGCAAATTCTACTCCAATTTGTTTTCTTCCTGGAATTTTTTCTCCCAATCTGCTTCTCGCTTTTTCTCCATTATTTCAATACACTTCTGAAGCTTCACTCTCTGAAACAGATTTAAAAAAGAAAATGTACATATATTTAGATGCAGGAAGCAACATGAACATTTGGTAATCTTAAGTTAATAAAAACAATCTATGATAAATAATATCAGAAATTCATCATGTCATCTATCCCTGATCCTCTATGTTAGTTTCAAAGCACAGTGCTATAACCTTCTATGTAAATGATAAGTTATTAATATTACTGATTATTGCAGGATTCATACTTTTACAAGTAGCAGGAAAATTCAATTATATATGTATATATATTACACGGCTTTGTATAAAAAACTTTGTACGTCATACCCACATACCAAGGTACGACAGGAGATTGAATAAGCTTAATATTTTAATAAAAATTGAACCCTTCAAAGACTGTATCATGCACCATGTCTATGGGTAAGAGGTACAAGGTTTATTATACAAAGCCATATTACACTTACATTTTCTACACTATCTCCATGAAACAGTTCTTTCTGAAAGAAAAAATAGCATTTTTAATAATGTAATAATATAAGATCTATTTGCCAAGCTAAAGTACTTCATCAATCTTATGGGATGCTCCCTTATTGACATTATTTAATAATAGGACTGAATCCTGAGAATAATATTTGAACACTTTTATCAGAGAATCCCAAGCCAACCAATCTGCAGTCTTTACAGTGCTAGTGCACAAGTTACTTTATTTTTTCTTTCTGAGCAATATTCCTGACAACATTGATATGATTGGTAACAGTATAATATTCCAATAATAAATAATTATAAATCTATATGATGATATCAGTTAAGTGATTTTTACACTGAGCACCAAAGACACTGGGATTAAAAAGAGCTTTCTATATGAAGAAAAGAATAATTTTATACTTAATATTTAAAGAATTTGGGAAATAATCATGTGATAAAGGTCCATGTGCAGTATGGCAAGTGATTTTAGACTGTCATATCTTTCACCATGAGTACTTTCTGGGCATAAATACAATGTTTTTTTATTAAAACAATGTTTTGTTTCAAGTGAAGTACCCATGATGATAAAAATATCAATCGAACATTTCGAAAAATTACGAATAGGGACCCCATGTCAACAATTTTTTCAAAATGTTGAACATATTTACTAAAACGAGGATCTCCCTTTTCTGATTTTTATTGCATGAAAAGATCACTTAAAAAGGGTTCTAAAACTTCTTCAAAAGTAGAATGGTATTTAAAGTCTAGTTTTGAAGATATCAATTTCCGATGACCAAAATTATGCTGAAAACAATAGCACAAGTTTTCCCTATGGGAATATAACATATGTGGTTTTTAACTTTAACACATTTCAATACCAATCCCCTTTTCAGAAGTTGTAAATATAGTGTAGAAGAAACTTTTTATATGGCTAAATCGTGAAAAACGAGATCCTCTTTTTAGAAAATAAGCCTAACATTTTTTAAAAAGTGCCCAGATGGGGACCTAAACCATAATTTTCAGAGAGTTGGATTGATATTTTACTATCACTGGAACTTCACTTGAAAGAAAACATATTGTTTTTATATTTATATTTATTATTACAATATTTATGGGAAATGAGATAATTTATGCTTGAAGAAGACTAGATACTGACAAAGTATCATTTCTGTCATTATTACACTTTGACTTTAATTAGCTCTAGAGCTTCCAATTCTAGGCTGTTTCAAATCTAAAAAATTCTCAGTCATCCCCAACGCCCTCCCCCTTCTGACGCCAATGTATAGTATGGATATAGGATGAATTATAACAAACTACACAATATACATACTCTTTTAGACATCATCCAAGACTCAAAGGACTCTGGCTGATTGAAATACCAAAACAAGGTTACTGGAAATGTCATGTAACATCCCATCTGAAATAAAAGTTAAATTTTATGATTACTCAATTCACTATAGTCAAAACAGTAATGTTTGTGAGTACTTTGAATTTAAAAAATAAGAATTTAAAAAATAAGCAATCAAATTACCAAATTGAAACAATTTATGTAAAAATAGAAACATTTATATTTATCCTAACTTTTGTATAGTTTTGTTTGTTTTCTAGTTTAGCTATCATATCTGTGTCCTCTTATATTTTGATACTTCTCTGCCATGTTATTTTTGGAAAAATTAACATGGCTGAAACTCCCAAAATTACAAAAGGCCACAGCTTTGCTGCACATTATACATTACTATCTGAAATATACAAAAGTTAGGATAAATATAAATGTTTCTATTTTTACATAAATTGTTTCAATTGGTCATTTGATTGCTTATTTTTTAAATTCAAAGTACTCACAAACATTACTGTTTTGACTATAAATAGCATCTTAAAATCGTAAAATGTTCTAGGAAGTGGCCCACCCTCAAAAATATGCTGAATTTTCAAAATGCCGTTCTGCCATTTTGAAATCTGTCACGAGTAAATAAGGTTACCTGATGTTGCTTTCTGGGAGTCAATCCTTCTTGGATCACAAACATGGCGATTCATGAAAACATTCGTTTGATTTGGTAGGAATTTATCCATCATTTGCAGGTATGAAGCTTTGGATTCATTTATTGTGCTACTTAAAGTCAATGGGAATTATTTTTCTTCCGCTTGGGAGAGTTTGAGACACGAAACTTAGAATTTAGCTCATTGTGCCAACTTTTGAGGGTTGAGATTTATTTTTGCACCCCACTTTAAGGTGTACAGCTGGAAAATAACATTTTGGTAAAAAATTGCTATACCAGCACATGTTATTTTCTGGTACAAAATAAAGTATAAAGGCATGTGTCAATTTCCTTGCTTTTTTCAGGAAAGTATCATTACATTGTCTTCTTTTATAATATCTGGGAGGAGTTCAATGGGAACTCCAGGAAATTCTGATATTTCACACTTTCTATTTTTCCAAATTTTCTTTCAAAGTTTCCAGACAACACAGAAGCTACCATTGACTTAACCAAACCCGTCTGGCCCAGTAATCTACTCCCGATTCTGAATTGTCGTAGATCTAGGGCCAGACAAGGTCCAATGCAAAAAAGGGGATATTTACTCCGGAAAAAACACACTGCTGAATCATCACTTATTATTCATTCCCTATTAGCCATCCAACCAAAACATCGGGTACCATGTAAACCCAAGTATTTATTTGAAATAAAGAGAACATAACTTACGCGTTAATGTGGTGTTTTGTTTGTTATATTGATGTTGAAATGGGCACAACATTTCGTCAATATTTTGTCAGTTCTCCGCACCGAATAAAGTCACGTAATACGAGTGTGACGCGATAATTTTTAAACTTTCATGGAACGAAAATACATTTCCCGGGAATCAATACATTCCAAATATTACGATTTGTTCAGCAGATTTGTTATCAAAACATAGATTACTTTATAAAACAGACGTGTCTGTGTTGTATTTAAACTGGAAAGAAATATGGTGGGCATTAAATACGATTTTTCAATTTGTTGAACTGACGGAATGTAGTACTGAACGAAATAAGCAGCCAAGACTTCTCGATATTCTACGAGATCACGAACAGATTGCAGAAGAATTTTTCTTTTTGCTGCGTTTAGACGTTTCGTTCTTATTTATTAGCCGTCATCCAGCGATGGAAACCTAATATAAATACAAAGTTTGATACAAGGAACAAACACGTAAGTGATTTTTATGATGTTTATTCATTTATCAGCACGTATTATACATTGAAAAACCAGTGTGTTTTTTCCGGAGTAAATACCCCATTTTTTGCATTGGATCGAGTCTGGCCCAGATCTACGACGTCAGGAGTAGATAACTGGGCCAGACGGGTTTGGTTACCATTGACTTACTCGAGTCTCTAGCCAATACTTGGCTAGAGGGGATTTCATCTGGAATACTGTGAACTCCATTTGAAAAAAGCTGGCCGCCGTGTCATAATTTTATTGAATATTTTAAAAATCACCAGATAAATAAATCATTAATCAAAACGGACCCCGCTCAGCTCCTTAATGAGATCATGGGCTAGTGATCTAGTTGAAAGCCCATGATGAGATATGACATGATTTCATCAGGATTTCGTCTAAAATTAAAACAAAATGGCTCCAAGAAAAATGGTGATGTTCGAAAACTGGACAAAATGTTGTTAATGTCTGATATTAGTAACTGGCTGTAAATTCTAAGTTAGCGATCCAGAAGATGTGAACTAATACACTGATCACTTTATTTGTGTTTTGGAATTTTTGGTGAGGTAATAAGACCAAAACTCGCAATTCAAATTGCTGCCCTGTCAACCCTCACGCATTAGGCGTGATTGTCACGCATTTGCTGGAAAGATAGAAATCACGCATCAATTTAGCGTGTATGATCAAATATCACGCATTTTTATGATCAAATATCACGCAAATCACGCATTTTGCTGAAATTTTAAAAATCATTTTTTGTGAAATGCCGATACGGTAAAATACTGAACGGCGAAAAAAAGCGAACGCATTCCGTTCAGTCTTTGCACGCGATTGCCGTTTATGTCACGCATTTGGTACAAAATATGTGTACAGACAGTGCTTGAGCAAAGCTCCATTTTTCTGCTGGTCATACGGACTGCCAATTTTGGGCATTTTTGATACTTCCGGTATTTCGGCCAATCAAATTCCTGGAGACATATACCCTAGCTGTTTCCTCGAGAAACTGATTTTAGACCAATCAAAATCTTCGAATTATATCATGTTAAATTACTCGCTTTAGCGAAAACGGAGAGGAAACTAAAAATGAAATTTCGTAAACTTTTTCATCAAATTGATGATTCAGAATCATTGTATTCAAGGTAAGCAAATTGTACTTAAAGAAGCTACTTCGTTTTTGTGCCGGACATTCATAAGTTGGGGTAATCTGAGATATGGTGTCCATGCCGGTCAAATTGACCATCAGTTTTTAAACTCAGCTGGTCCGTTCTATGAATCTGTCAGTCATGACCGACGGACCGACGCTTAGTTCAAGCACTGTGTACAGTGGGGGACAAAAATAAAACTCAACGTTCACAAGTTGTCACAATGAGCTTATTTCAAATTGAATATTCACATGTTATGCCGACTCTTCAAATGTTGAGGTGATTATTATTCAACTTTTGAAGTTCTTATTTGTCATTAGGGACACAAATTCCACTATATTTGGACTTACTAAGACGGAGAAAATAGAGCACTGAATACGCCGAGGTAAGAATTTATTACATGTGCGACAGCATGTAATTTTCATAGCTTTTGCAATTCTTTATGATCCCCACTGTAAATCACGCATTTGTTTCGAAAATATTCAAACCTTCTGATTGAAAAACTGATTTCAGACTTGAAGTACAGTTGGGGACATAAATAAATGACAGGTGGATTTGCTGAAGTGAGGATTTCCCATGTTAAAAATAAGAGAATTTACAAGAGGCCATAAATCAGTGGATGAGATTATACAAAATGTAAGATATACAAATTTTAAGGGATATGTATCTAGACAATATTTGAAATTATGGGCTTTCAGACCACCATACTACTTTTTTCAAGGCCTGACTGCGCCGCTAACATGCTAAATATAAGAGTTAGCTGACGTTTGGGAGTCTGACTTACCTTCTAAAGGTTAGAACCCGAATCTTAATGAAACCATATCACCTTTGTTGCGTCGATGATGATGCATAAACATAGCATTTGATAGAAATTAGCGTAAATGCTTTTCCGACTTTTTCATTTTTCATCAATGTTGACTTCCGGGAAGGCGTTGTAGTTATCACGAAATAACGCATTGACCCTTGAACTTTACTTTGTTGACGTGTCAACCAAGCATGTCTGGTGTGAAAATTAAAAGAATATTAAGCAATGTTCTACATCCGCCAAGCTAAGTGAAGTAGTCAATATTTAAAATTACCAATTTCAAGTGAAGTACGCAACGAACGAAACTGCGTGATCTACACTCCCACTATTGGTCTGAATGAAATGCTACGTAGAAATATGAGCCGTCTGCTGTATTAGTCGATTAATAGAGTAAGACCTGTTGGTGATGCTTTATAATTTAGACCAAAACATTGAAGAACGAACCTGTAAATCGTGAAAACAACGAACAAATATTCGGTTTTCACATATGTTCGATAATTTTTCGTATTGAAACTTCCGGAACTTACAAGGAAATCATTCATTTTCTCGATCCATGATTTACCTCTTGGATGTTGTGGCAAATGCTCCATGGTTGACGGAACAAAGGTGATATGGTTTCATTAAGATTCGGGTTCTAACCTTTAGAAGGTAAGTCAGACTCCCAAACGTCAGCTAACTCTTATATTTAGCATGTTAGCGGCGCAGTCAGGCCTTGAAAAAAGTAGTAATTAGGAAATGGTGATCGAAAATCGACCTGTCATTTATTTTTGTCCCCAACTGTACCTTCCAAATCTTATGCTAGATCTATGTACTAATCTTAGTAACAACACAATTTATGATTACCTTAAATATTTCTAAAGCCCAATTCCCCATTGCTTGATATATATCGTAAAGACTAGAAGATGATGAATTTTATTTTATTTCATAATGAAAACTCCACAGATGGCGCTGTTGAAAAGGCAGATGTATGATTGACTGAAATAATGTTTTATCGATGCCATCCCGAGCTGTAGAACAGAATTTAAATTTTATTTGGTTTATCTTATATATACATAATTCTATAAAAATTATGAAACCGTACAGGTTGCTTCAAATATCATGTTGATCTTGAAAGGGATCTTGAGTTTGAAATCTAGTGAAACATGTTTAAAATCCGAATAGATGGCGGAAAAAGTGGTCAGAATGCCGGGGTCAGAATATGGATTATTAAATCATATGTAATTTTAGGTACATATATATTTTTTTAACAACGGAAATACACGAACAAACAAATTGTACCAAGTTAGGATCCTAAAGATGGCTATGTGCAAATAAAGTAAACGTTTACCACCCTTGTTAGTTTCGTTCAGTGTAAATATACCTCGCTATAACCAACTTAGTACAATTTGTTTGTTCGTGTATTTCCGTTGTTAAAAAAAACACACGTGAAAATCCAAAATATTAATATATCATTCGTTTACTCAAATAGAGAAAGAGAAAATGGGACAGAAGCGGGACTTTACAGAGAGACTAAAGAGAGGACCAGGCAGATCGTCAAAGAAGCAAAAACCGCCTCAGATGCCTGTTCAATTTCGTAAAGATGAAGGTAAAAATTCAAATTCAGCTCTAGGGTTATCTTGTTCCAACACCATCCTCTTCGTCTCTGGTCTTGGAGGGGATCCATTGAAACATACAGTATTTTTCAAAAGTCGAAATTTAACGGCGTTAGGTACGCATATATTTTTTACCTCTATCGACTTTTACACCAAAAGAAATGTTCTCCCCAACGACGTTTTTTATTATACATTTTATCAAAACATTCTTCTTTCCATTCTTTTCTAGCTACATTATTGCACAAAACTGGAAGATGTAGACAATATTGGGATAGTCATATAAATCCGACTGTTGTATGCTGTTCTTCGATGTTCCTTGTTCCTTGTTCTTATTTGGATATTTTTAGATTTTACATCATTTTCTTAAAGCATACACGGTCGTAGATATGACAGCTAACATATTGCGGGAAACGCTTTCCTGGCCTGTCTGGATAACCATACCAACCAAAGTCACACAAATTATCGACTTATTATTTTGCTCCAACATCAAAGTGTTAAGGTCAGGGTGCATGATGGGAAATTTTCTGCATCCTTCAATTGAGTCACATGTTATTTTTCAAACAAGAATCACTCCTTCCCCACATTGTCTACACCTTCCAAGTTTGCACAAAGAGTGCACTTATGTGCCTAGAAAAGACTTGTGAGAAGATTTGTTTTGTAAAATGTATAAAAAACGAGAAAATTCAGTGAAAAAAATTTCTGAAAATTTTCTGAATTTTTTCACTGAATTTTCTTGTTTTTTATACACTTTATCAAAACATTCTTCTCACAAGTCTTTTCTAGGCACATAAGTGCACTCTTTGTGCAAAAGTGAAAGATATAGACAATGTGGGGAAGGAGTGATTCTTGTTTGAAAAATAACATGTGACTCAATTGAGGGATACAGAAAATTTCCCATCATGCACCCTGACCTTAAATCTTACCTTAGACATGTAAAACGCTTCATAATTGACAAAATATAATCAATTGAAGTATATTTTCATTATCGCCCGCCATATTGCTAAATGTTGTTTACGGTAGTCTAAATGTAAAACTATATCGAAACGGAATCATAATTATTCATTACACAGAGATTCAAAAGCCGTTCTCTCATACTACTCACTTTTCTCATTTCTGAAACAATAACTTTTCCACGTACCAAGCGTTTTACGTGCCTAAGGTTAAATGCTCCAGGGCTCAAGGGATAACCCCTGGTGCAGTATGAATGCTCACAGTGCTATTTGTTATGAAACCTTCACCACTGTTTTCCAGGGTCATAGACTCATAGAAACAGGTACTTATGGAATGAAATTATTTTAGCCTGCACATGTTATTTTCTGGTACAAAATAAAGTAAGAATATATGCATGTTTTTCCTAGCTTTTTTGAGGAAAGTATCATTACATTGCCTTCCTTTAGTAAAACTATAAACAGGTCAATGGTAACTCCAGTGTTGTCAAGAAACTTTGAGAAAAAATTAGAAAGCATGAAATATCAACATTTCCTGGAGTTACCATTGACCTCTTATCACACACAACACAACCAATTAAGACATTATGGAATTTGCCAGATAATGTCCTGATCACTGAAGTGAAGAATTCTAACTTGATGGTTGGAGCAGCTGGGTATACTTGCTGACAGTTAGTTGTTCTGTTGATTTTTTCAATATACAAAATGTTTATAATATTCCATGTTTTTCAGATGAAGCACCTAAAAACCTTTCCAGTAGAGCCAAAAAGAGGTAATATTTAGTATACTCTGTGTTATCCATTCTTATTTATTATTGATGGGAAAAACTTACTTGCTGGGTATATGAGGGGGGGGGGGTACTTTATCTTACACTTAGTTTTCACCTTATGAATCACAAGAAAGTGGTGTCACAGCTGGGACCTGGCACTTTTGGGTCTACTTATCTAATTCCAAGACTTGAAGCCTTTAGAGGGTTTAATTTCCACCTACTTTATAAATGTTGAAAATTGACGGTGTTAGATATGCATATATTTCTAATATAAAGTGGGTTTGATTTTATGTTTATATATATTTGACATGTATCAATTATGAGGATTGTAACTTGATATTAGTATAAACTTAATTATCCCGACAATACACAAAAGCGTGGTTTTAAGGTTGGGAGAATTTGGCGGCAGGGCACGCCTTAAGCGTCGGACAGCTGGTCATTATCTGGTTACTTTTGATACTGACCAGTTGATTTTTTCACTAGGTATAGGAAAATAACATTGCAACTGGTCAGTAATGCCTTTTTGACCAGCAGCTCTGGAATCCTTAGGGCATACACTGTTTGGCGGACCAATGAAAATTTGTCCCATTTAATGCGATGCATAGAAGAAGATATTTATGTTAATTTCCATGTCTTTGTCGCGTAAAAATCTATTGAAGCAATGTTACTTCTGCAAAATTCAAGACTGAGTGATGGTACCCAAAAACCTTGAACAAAAGTCTATTAATGCAAGTTACTGAGATATAGCTTGTTGCAAGGGTTCACATTTTTTGACCATCCTGTAGATCATTTTTGAAGTGAATGTGTTTCCGTTTAACTTTCTAGGATGAAGAATCGTTTAAAGAAGAAAGCCTCACTTGAAGCAGGAAAAGCCAAGAAGCCAATTAAGAATGTAGTAGACCTTGGCAGTGGAGGAGAGAAGAGTGATAGTGGTAAAAAATGTTTTCAACTAACTTGAAGTTCATTTTCTCTTTGTCTTTGTCTACTCCCAGAGGCCTAAGATGATATAGTTTGATTATTCTCACTACTGACCATTCGTCAGTCAAGGTGAAAACACTTAATTACCAGTTGATGGATTAGGTCCATATTTTAGCTGATGGGCATCGGACCTCTGCTTAAGAGAATTATCTAATACCCTGCCATTTTATTTACCACGAATCAGTCACCTGGTGGTGAAAATGGTAACTACCAACTTTCATCTTTGTAATTCAAAGTGGCCACCATTTTATGTGATTCTCCGATACCATTTGACAGATTTGGTTCTAATTAAGGACCTTCTTCTCAAGGAGACATTTTTAAGGTGGACGTTGCATTAAAAATGTCCACTATTTTCATGAAATAATGTACTCTTTAATAATTTATCTAATTTTCTATGCTGATTGATGCCTTATGCCTCAGTTGCATTTGATCTATAGCAACCATACAGCTGCCAACCCTTCCAATATCGAGAGAAGTATTCAGCATAAAATATAGAGATAAGCAGTACAATGTAGAATTTGTAGAGTTATTTTGTGAAGCTATACATGTTCGCCATATGCACCCCGTAGATCAAATGTGACTCAGGGACTTTAGGCATAAAGAAGAAAATTTCAAGATGGCTGCCTAATTAAAGATTGACACTATTTTTCATAATAAAATGCAATTTTTACAACTGAGATACCAATTATCAGATTTGGTCTAAATTTTGAATGCAGATGTGTTGTGGGAATAGGACTTCTTCGAGAAGGAACTCCATATAAAGTATGGCTTCTCAAAATGGCTGCCACTATTTCATGCATTTTCATACATTATTCGTAGTTCAAATGCTGTCTGATACTATACATATTTGAAATACTCTCCCACATTTTGCATACTGTTATACATACATGAAATGTACCCATGTATGCTTATAGATTTAAGTGCTTTTTCCTCTGATGATGAAGATCTATTCCCTGACCATGATGAAGTAGAAGCTCCATTGGGTGAATCTGACAGTGATGCAGTTGAAAGTGATGAGGAAGATGTTAGTGGAGAGGAGGAGGTTGAAGACAGTGATGAGACAGAAGAAGCACAAGGGCCTGCTAAGAAAAAGTCCATACAGAAAGGATATTCTGGTATTTTATGAAACAAAAAATAATACATTACGATTTTTGTGATTTACGTTAATTTTTGTCATTCCATCTATCCTCTCCTTTCAACCTGACTTTATGACACTACATAGGTCACTTCTACAGATTTCAGTTGAAGTCAGTTTAGTTAATGATATGATTGAAATCTGGAAATACAAGTTTATTTTTCAATGTAGGAATCTGGCGTGATCTACTTTATATTTATCTACTGAAAAAAAATTATTATCAATATTGTGTGTGAGTATGTAGTCATGGACTTGTTATTGTAGATGACAACAAGTCTTGGTTGACACCTTCCAAGAAATCCAGTTTGCCTATGGATGATGATGAGTCTGAGGATGAAGATGAAAGTACGGATGATGAAGATGATGACATGGTAGGCATTCATCTCGAGAAAATACTTCGATTAATTTGTCATTTTTGAAATATTTCAGTGTGATTCTGTTGAACCACAAGTGGGTGACACAAATATTTCATTCTATTAAGGGGAATAGTGCAACAGTGCACAAGTGGTATTTCATGAAGCATGAAGAGCTAGTGGAATATTATATTGTGAAAGTGCCACATGTATTCCTCAAAACTAAGATTAAATATTTATTTTGTTATATTACTGTCTAGCTCACTATCCTTAATATTATTACAAATAAATACAATCATTTATATAGGTAAAAACTTGAATATTACAGTGTAATTCTGCTAAACCTTGGTTAAATTTCAAGCTAAAGTTCCACAGCTAATTAATTTGTGGGTGACCATGTTGTTTTCTGGTTGCCATTTTAGAAGTGTTTTCATTGTCCTTTCAGGAAAATTGCTCACTGTTTCTTATATCCATTTTGAATCATTAGGGATGCTTTTTAGTACGACATTCTGCAATTGATTAGTTTTTGGGCATTCTCTGTAAATCTTGGTAACATTTGTCAGCCGTTATGAAGATTCCATCAAAAACTTGCTAGTAATGTCTTGTCTATGCATTTATTGCCAAAACCGTTGATGGGTTAATTTGAAATTTTTGGGTATGCTTTGATATCAAACTCTACAACTTAATATTTTTGGGCATACTCAGTAAATTCTTTGATGGCCATTTTGGATTTTTCGTCCTAAAATCTTGTCTCTTCAATTGATTATTGTTGGGCATTCAGGATGAAAAATCTCTATACCTATGGGGATATATTGCAAATGTTTGTGTCCTTGTCATATTATTTGAATTGTGTTACAGAAAGATGACTTTAGTGACAAAGAGGAGAGTTCCAATTCAGAGGACAGTGATGAATCAACTGATGGAGACAATGATGAGGATGGCGACGATGATGAAAAGGTAAAGTTGGAATGAATAGTTAATGTGTCCTCAATAGCTCTTGTAAAATACATTTATTACATCGTGCTGGCTATAAAGGTTATAACTTAATATTTAGACACTGTCTATCATAAATGCAGTGCTCCCTCAACATTAATTTAGGCATCATCTTTTATTTGAAGGACCATGCCTGGACAAGGCCTTTTGTTCCTTCTAGAAACTCGAAAGCAAACAAATTTGCAAGAATTAACTAATTCTAAATTCAGAACTCTGAGATTAATAAGGCCACCATCAAACATGTGAGAAATGGATGCACTTTAAAATATACATTTAATTTTGAGTGAATTCATTGTACATCTCCTTGATAATTTCAGTTTGCTATTATCAACTCCAAATTGTGAATATATTTGAATTTGTTTAAACTATGATTTTGGGACAAAGTTGTCAAATGTGAACCCCTTGGTATTTTTAAAAAGTGAACCCCAGTTGTCAAAAGCTTGCTATGGGCTTGGAAGTTCACTGTACTCAGGTTTACATTTTGTACTGGACAAAATTAATTTTGCCAAGTTTTGTTTGAGGTTTGGGTATATTTGTTTGGGTATATTTGTATATAAAGAGTTACACCTTTAGTTGAAAATGAAACTATGAAATAACATATCTTCTATAATTGGCAGCTGCTCCCCATAGAGAAGGCCACTAAAAGACTGAGAAAGAAGCAGAAGGAAGATGATAAACTGGCAGAGGAAGAGCTCCAGACCAACATTGCAGAGACTGAGACATTTATTCTCCCCAGTGGACAGGAAATTGAAAAAGAGTGTATCCTTTATGAATTCCAATGAATGAACTTGTGTTGTATTGTTTATTTTATTGGCAGTAGCTTTGTTTAAGATGCTTTCAAAATAATTCCTGATTTATTGTTGAAATAAGGTTTTATTCCTTTGATCATGCAGCAGTGCTCCCTCAACATTGTTTTTATTTTGACATTGTCTTTCACAAGTATTATTGTTCTTTGATTATCCATCACAAACAAATTTATTATTGGCTGTTATGGTTATGCTATGTTTCTTTTCATTCTTTGTGTTTGTTGTCTGAGGTTTTCCATCCTCTTATGTTGTATATGTAACTTAAAAACATTTTTCAACTGATGAAAATGCATGGATTTGCATCAAATGTCTTAAAATAAATAGAAACATCAAATTAAATATATTTGAATTGATAACAAGGAAATACAATACATCAACCCTCTGTCCCTTATAAGGTCCCTCGGATTGATATATTGTATTTCCCTCAGATATACCCTGTATCAAAAACCTCCCATTAAATAACCTCTATTTGAAATGTTGTCTCATGAAATATTGTAACAGGAAATATGATTCTATAAATATGTCTTTGATTTCTTTTGGTATTAAAATAAGATGATGACATTCTGTCATGTTCATATCTTGATTATTTGAGTTGTTGTTTATTGTTCCCTAACTTAATCAGTGGTGCAAGCTGCAGATCTGACACTGGTGCAACAGAGGATCAAAGATGTCAAGGGGGTCCTTGGAGACTTCACCAACAGGCGGCAAGATGGCAGGTAGGACAACATGTTTGCTTTGGGGCTGTAGGTGAATGTAGATTAACAGTGCAAGTGCTAGAGTGCTTCAACTTTTGTTTTCACAATTCTTCAATTTTGTTAAAAATTAAAAATGTATAAATGATAAATATTTGCAATCAAGTGGTACAAACTTTGGTGTTGGTGTTGTCTAGTTAGATATGGTCCAATTTCTATATGCTAGTGCATATGGTGTTAAGTCACATCATAATGTGATTACGTGTCGATTTGACAAATGAGACAAATTCCAAAATGTACTGTGGGGCTACTTTGTGGAGTTGCTGTTTTTTCTAGTTTGTTGCTGTTGTAGATCTTGAAACAGACCCTGCTCATCATTATTTGTTGTACTTTTAGGTCTAGGAAGGAGTATCTGAGACAATTAAGAAAGGACCTATGTACTTACTACAGCTACAATGACTATCTAATGGGAGAGCTCATGGAACTATTTCCTAATGAGGTATTTTTTCTATTCTATGTTCTATAGTTATTAATATTAGTGGTGGAACCCGCACTCAAAATCTTACCCAAGTCAGAACTTGCCAGAGAACTTTGAAATCAAGTAATTCATTCATTCTCTGTGGCAGTGCTAGTCTTCAACATACCACCACTAAATGTTTTTGTCATATATGATAATGTAATTGGAATATGAGGCATAACTCCCAAGTTTTTCTGAATTTCCAAGTAAAATATAAAGGACAAGTTGAAATACTGCACAGGAATATTTTTAAACAATTTATTTATCCTGTTTCAGATTGTTGATTTCCTTGAGTCTAATGAAGTCCAAAGACCAGTCACCATAAGAACCAACACATTGAAGACTCGCAGGCGGGACCTGGCACAGGTATGTTCTATAACATCAATGCATTCATTATTTTAAAAAACAATGGAATTCTTTTAATCGCCTTGGGTACTGTATTGTGATCAGTTTGCTGGGTGGGTGGGCAGCCAGTCAGTCGGATGGGTGGTCGGTCAGGTGGGACAGTGGGCGGCAGTCCCGATTAATTTTGTCTTCAGGTTTCCAGCCAAACCATTTCAGAAATTCTTCTGAAATATTCAGGGATCTAGGAATGAAAGTTAACAACTGAATAGTTTTTGGGCATTCTGGGTTAGGTGGCCATTTTGTAAGTTCTATGTTCTAAAATAATGTCTGTCTAGGTTTGTCTACAGGTTTCCAGCCAAACTGTTTTATGGATTAATCTGAAATTTTCAGGGATGTTTCTAAGTGTGAAATTTTAGAACTGATCAGTCTTTGAAGTGTACATGAAGGCTTTATTCTCCCACTTCAATCTGTCCAAGGTTGGTCTCATGATGGAGAATCTTTTTCTATTGTACCATGTGAGCTAACCATATGTGAATTTCATGATATCCTCTGTTTTAGGCATTGATCAATCGTGGAGTGAACCTGGATCCCATAGGCAAGTGGTCAAAGGTTGGCCTTGTGGTGTATGATGCACAAGTTCCCTTAGGTGAGTGCCCTTACTTTAGGATATATATACACCTACATAGGCAACTGGTCAAAGGTTGGCCTTGTGGTGTATGATGCACAAGTTCCCTTAGGTGAGTGCCCTTACTTTAAGATACATATGCGCCTACATAGGCAACTGGTCAAAGGTTGGCCTTGTGGTGTATGATGCACAAGTTCCCTTAGGTGAGTGCCCTTACTTTAAGATACATATGCGCCTACATAGGCAACTGGTCAAAGGTTGGCCTTGTGGTGTATAATGCACAAGTTCCCTTAGGTGAGTGCCCTTACTTTAAGATATATATGCGCTTACATAGGCAACTGGTCAAAGGTTGATCTTGTAGGTGAGTAACTAAAAAAGTATATTCATTTTTTAGTCAAGTGCTGTTTTCTCATTGTAAATGCATGTTATATAGTTCTTATATAGTTCTTATACAGTTGAAGTTTTTAAGGTTCAAACTCACAATAATATTCCTAGAGAGGTGTAAACAGCTCTTGATTTCTGTATTTTGACTAATGGCCTAGTCACATAGCCCGGCCGATGTCCGGCATCGGTAGAGCTCGGTGGATTTTTTTGGTGCCACCGAGCTCTCCTCATCGGAAGCAGAGCTCGGTGACGTGAACGGACTCCGTCCGGACATCTTCAGGCGACCGACCGAACACCGGCTGGTGACCGTACGGAGTCTGTCTCAAAATGGTAGTTTTTTTCTGCCGATGTGGCAGCAACTACATCGGAAGGAATACGGCCGGTACCCGAGCAGGTAACAGGACACCGTGCGATCGCCGGCCGGGTTGTTAACGGGCTTTGAACAGTGACTGGCCGATGCTCTGTCCCACATCGGCCGGAGCTCGGCCGCTGTCCGTTAAAAAACCTCGTCCTCTGGTTGTCTCAGATGCACGGGACACCGGCCGATACTTGGCCGTGCACTGGCCGACGTGTTTTCCGATGTGGTTACGATGGGGCTGCGATGACATGATGAGGGAGCTCGGTGAGAGCCCGGTGAAATTTAAACTCGAAGTTAAAATTTCACCGAGCTACCACCGATGCGGTTTTAAGCAACAAACGCCACGGATGTCCGGCCGGTGTTCGGCCGAGTTCGGTGAAAATTGCATCGCTGGCTCATCGTAACATTATCGGCCGGGCTATGTGACTAGACCATAAGTAACCATTTCTTACCCCTTCCATTGAAGAGTACAATGGGTCTCTACAACACATTGTGGGGTGCTGCCAGCATGGGTTGGCATGGCACAATGCCATGCATATCCTATTGCATAGTAGTTGGTAAACTATTTTGAGTCAGTTTTTATCATGCATAAAAAGGATATTGTTGTCAGGTTGGCGGGTGGGTGGAGTCTCAATTTAACTGTCATTGTGATTCCAGGAAATCACTTCACAGAATTACTTCAAATCACTACATACAATGTTACATGGTAAGAAGTTCTAGAAACTTTGTTGTAGGTTCAAAGTTTGAAGGATTATGGGTCACAAATTCATGTGGATTGGATACTGGCCAAGAAGTTTACAGCTAGTACTTTGAAAATTTATATGTATCTCATTTTATTTCATTTTAGGTGCCACCCCAGAATACCTAGCAGGACACTACCTTCTACAGGGGGGCTCCAGCTTTCTCCCAGTGATGGCTCTAGCCCCACAGGAGAATGAGAAGCTACTTGACATGTCTGCAGCTCCAGGGGGGAAGACAACATATGCAGGTAAATTGTTAGGGCCAAATGCAGGTCTTACATTCATAAATGATGTCATGTGTAATATTACAGCTGTATTAATGAAAGCACAGGTCTTATATTTGCTTATGATGTCATGTGTTATATAACAGCTGCATAAATGAGAAACAGGGGTCTTACATTCATTAGTGATGTCATGTGTTAAATTACAGCTACTTTAATGAGAAACACGGGTCTTATATTCATTAATGATGTCATGTGTTATATTACAGCTGCTTTAATGAGAAACACGGGTCTAATATTTGCGAATGATGCCAATGAAGACAGAGCCAAGGCCATAGTGGGCAACATACACAGAATGGGTATTACCAACACTGTAGTGACCACATATGATGGGAGGAAATTTCCCAAGGTACTGTAATATGTACATTTACTTAACATGCTGTTTATGCATACTTTAGTCACAGATTTACAACTTGAAACATGAGATGTTTTGTTTTTAACATACATTATATCATTTTTTGTGTGTATTATTTCAAGGAGGTCTCATGAATTGATGTGATTTGAGTTTATAATTAAGATGTGATCTGAGTTCATAATTAAGATGTGATTTGTAGGTTTTTTCCCTGTTATTGATCAGTTTCTAGTAGGACCATAGTAGCTGGGACAGAAAGTTCCAAGTCTGTATATTTTCTTTCGTTTCTTCACTTTTCAGAGTTAAGTCACTACATTTTGCATACATATTCCATGGAGGAATCCTAAGATAGAATTTATTTGGTGTTAATTATAATTTATTTGTTAAAAATAGGGAAACATTTGATTCTGACTGGTCTATAATCAAAATTTGCCATTTTGTGCGACAAATGCAGCATTTTGACGTAATTAATAAAAATCACTACTTTTGGTATAATAATTCCAAAATAAGCACATGTCTTCTTATTCAGCACACGTGTAACTGTTTTTAGGTAATTGAGGCATTACCGAGAAGAATGGTATACAGAAATTTTATATTTTGAATAAAACAACCTCTGAAGATGCTTGCATTATTTGAGATTTTGGTGTTTCAATGGCTTGAAAAAATGGATTGGGTAGGGGAGTGGCATACATTTTGGGCTTATTCCAGTTACCATTTCAATCAAATGAACAGTGACACATTTAATATCATTTTAAAGCTTGTAACGTGTGCTTCAATTTGGTACCCATATTATAATGTCAGATGCTGTATTGTGACACCACAGTCGTACCAAATGACTAAAAAATGGAAAAATAAGCACAAAATGCGGCAAAATAATGGTTTTATTCCATCATTGTTTTGCCAATTCACTACTTGCCACAATCAATGAATGCATTTCTCATGAAGTACACTTCCAATGCACGATCTGATGACTGGCAAAAAATAACTAGGATGATAGAGAGTAGGATGATTAGAGACAGCATATTGTATATGTCATTTATAACTTGGATTTTTATTAATTACGTCAAAATGCTGCATTTGTCACACAAAATGACAAATGTAGACCAATCAGAATCAAACGTTTCCCTATATTTAACAAATTGATTATAATTAAAACCAAATAAATTCTATGTTAGGATTTCTCCAGGGAATATGTAAATATACAGACTTTGGACTTGTTTTGTCCCTGCTATTATAGTCCTTAGATTTTAAAGTTAAAAGAAAAAGTTAAACTTGCTAAGGAGCTACTGCATTTTCCAATTCTCTCAGAGAACATGTGAAGAACATATGGTTCTTTGTACTTTTTAGCTCACATGGTGCGCTTTTTAGAATGAGCCTTATGGTTTTATTTTTTGATTTGGAAGGTATAGTTATTCCGAGAGAACTTATGCCTTGTAGGTAATGAGGAACTTTGACCGTGTGTTGCTAGATGCACCATGCAGTGGTACAGGTGTTATATCAAAAGACCAGGCAGTCAAAATTAACAAGGATGAAAAAGACATTGCCAGGTAAATATCAGAATGTACTTTTCATAACATGCACAGTTGGTATATTTATTACATACACACGCCAACATACTTCATATCAATGTATTCACTAGTATCTATTGCTGATGTTGAAAGGTTCAGTGTCCACTTAATCATTTACTGTAATTTACTCATAATCATCACAGTTGTCATCTCCACATGGGGGACATGCATCATACGGACTGAAATCAAACATGTTAAGCACTTGGGATGATGTTTCATTAGTATCACACAATTACTATCAGAAGCATAGCCCAAGAATCTTAAAAGTAGTTTGGCAAATGATGGTTACTAATTGACGACTTTGAGATGATGGGAAAAAATACTCTCATAAGACTTTATTTTTAGTTTAAATCGAAAAGATATCTGAAATAAAAAACTTCTGTATGTTTTCTTTGCAAAGCACTGGTGGCTTGTCTGATGCCAATGCATGAGTAGACTATACAGTGTGTCTCAAAAAATGTTACACTTACAAAAAAATTCAATATCTTTCAGGATTTTGACTTTTCCCCTAAAATATACTTAAATACCAAAAGAGCTGTCTTTTCTCGAATAAATTCACACCATCAGATTCAAAATTGGTCCATGGTTGGCTGCACAGGACAGTGGTTGGACATGTAGAATGCTGTGGACTTTGATAACTTGATACGATCAATGAAGCAGTTGGGTCTTTCCTGGATAGAATTCCAAGATTTCGTTGTCAGAGTGGTCAATTTTGTTACATATGATGACAACAGGATGGTGCCAATCAAGGACAGATTTTGAATCTGATGATCTCAAATTATTTGAGAAAGATTTGTCTTTTGGTAGCCAAAGTATATTTTAGGGGAAAAGTTCTATGAAAGATATTGAACTTTTTATAAGTGTAACATTTATTTTGAGACACACTGTAGAGAGAGATAAGATTCATTGAACAGTTGAAGCTATAAAAGTTGACCAATTGAAGCACTAATTGCTTTCCTATCATAGCAACTTACTCTACACATCTCATAGACCTGACATCTACAACATCATCTGTATCACATGTGACACGTACAGTCTGTCCCCCTCTGCACTCGAGGTAGGCAGTGCAGCCAATGTAACACCTGTAGTAGTTAGTTTGGTTAGAGAAATCATCCCAAAGGGTGCTACCTCCCTGAGTTCTCATGTAAGGAGGAACTTTACATTTAGCTGGTGAGCCTATGGAGTCAAACTTTTTAGCACACCCTTGGCTGTTATACTGTGATCAGTTTGCTGAGCAGGCAGATTTTGTCCCACTTAATTTTGTCCGTGCATTTCCAATGAGGTTTTAAAGTCTAGACAAAAATTCTTAGATGAATTTTGACACCAAAATCAGGAATTATTATATTCGGTCTGTGTTTAGTGTGTAGGTTTCAGTTTTGAAATCTTGTTATAGCTAAGAAATTAATACAGTAATTGTTTGGATAATTACAAAACAACTCCCTCACTTAATAGGAAATGAAGATGAAGGTATAGGAGCTTATCTGTTTTATTTATGTATTGCCACACTTGAATTTTTCCATTTAGCCACTGTTAAAAATGTTTGGCAAATGAATAAGAAAAAGAATTGTAGTGAACTACATGTAATGATACTGATATGTGTTTGTGATACAATATAAGAACTCCTAATTTGTTGTGGTGTAATAAATATAATACCTGAGGTAGTCTGGTTGACCTGCGCAATTATCACATTGTGTCTGTCCATACACACCAAACTGCTTCGCTGGAATTTCCAGTCCAATGGATTATCTCAAAATTGTTAACCAGATAACAACAATGCCAAAGTGTAGCAAATGCCATGGAACATCTAATGAGTTTCAGACAACACTGCTAGAGATCATATCTCAACAATTGGCTCCCATGAATGTATTGCCAAAAGAAAATGTGTCTTTCATGCATGTACATGTACATATAAAACATGTAAAATGAAACCTATAATAATGTCCTCCATTTTCCAAAATGGCCGACTTTTTGAGCAAACTGAGATTGTAACTGCCATCATTTTTATTTATTCTGACAGCCTGTTTTTTTTATTAGACAAAGTTAGATTTTGAACTAAATTAATATTCTACATAACATTTTGCATTAAAACATAATGAGATAACAGTTTTATATATTGTAACTACAGTACTATAAAATCTTCACTAAAATGGTTGCCATTTTGAAACCGAGAGCCATTTTCAGAACTTTCATTTTCAACTTGTACTCACAACAGGCAGACATAATATGTAACAGATATTGTACCTATGGTATTTGAGTAATTGCCTGAACAGATATATGGATAGATTGAGGCATTTTTAGCAAATATTAACATTAGATAAAAGACCAGATATGGTATGGCAAATGATTTAAGACAGTCATATTTTTTAACATCTATATTCTGACCACTTATACAGCATTTTAAAACAATTACACCTCACTTGTGGAATTCTTCAAACTGATTACGAAACCATTCTGGTTTCAGATGCATTTTTTACTACAATTTGAAGAGTTCTACTACAATGAACATGTTTTCCCTGAAGTTATCAGGATAATAAAAATATGAATACAACTATCTGAAAACCCCTTGTTTAGGACTCCATCTCAACGCATTTTTCAAAATGTCTGACTTAATTTCTAAAAAGAGGACCTTACTTTTCTCATTTTAACATTAAAAGTTTCTTTTGTTTTGTACTTGGAAACTATAATACAGAGTAATGTTATTTATTGTGGTAAAAGATATGACTATCTGAGGTCATTTGCCAATTACAATAGCTGGTTCTTTTCCCAAAAATTGTAAAATTACTTCTTGCATAGTTTGTAAGTTTGTGAAGAGGTATTATATTTTCCCAATGATAAAATTCCATTTACCTGTTAGAATGCAAAGCACAAGCAGCATGCAAGTATATACATGTAGTTTCTCCATTTTGATAACCTGACAGGTGTTGTTTATAGTTTATAAAGTGTTTGGTTGTGTAAATCTCATGTTATCATTAGTTAAAGGACATATTATTTAAAATTTAGATAACAGTCATGTGTTTGGTGTTGTTATATTATTTAAAATATTCTAGATATTCCATTTAGCTTTGCAAGTGAGTTTTTTAGGTAGTGTCTCCTCATTCCAAATTTTAGAGTTTTGGAATGAAAAAATAAATGAGATTATGGAAACCAGATTTACAGTAGTTTTTTCTTGGTTAGTTTTTATCTTGTAAAATTAAGAGTCCAGTACTACCCAATGTTTTGATATATAAGCAAGTAACATGTGTTAAGCAGGTCAGTCTTTCTCATGTATTCTATTTACCATTTTATAGAACTCCATTATTGTACTAATAGTATGTACAGACACACCCACAGTATATGACACACCCACAGTATATGACACACCCACAATATGCCATGTCCAAATGTCAGCATTTGTCACATATTCATACACATTTTCAGGATAATTTTTATCAATATTTACGAAAAGTGTTCATCAACTTTAAAAATTGAATTTTCTTTTGAAAATGTGACTTCTAGGTTGGGTAGATTCCCCATATTAGAAAATCATAAAAAGTGTAATTAGATGGATAGTATTTCTTGGAACTGGACGTATTTTCATTTCATAACTATCAGACATATATTAGTAATATGAAAATTTATCCACTAAATTTGATGAATATTCAAATTAAAGGGAACTTTCTATTTGGCCTCTATTATATATGCCATGTTATCTGACCCAAATTAGCCACCTGGTGGTGAAACTGATAACTACTATACTGGCATCTGGGTTATTTCATCGTCTATTTCTCCACAAAGGTTACACAATCTTTCATGTTCAGGTTTTGGGTGTGGTATTACATGTATACCCAGCTCTATTTGCTATTAATGAGAACTTAACCTCAGTCGGGTAAAGGATTGCCTATGATTTTTGTTCTGAAGGCTCAGATATTGCTCTAGACCTACTTTGTATTATTTATATATTAGAGCTGACGTGTTTACACAATCAAACGCTTTTCTGAAGTCAATCATAATACAATATATCGATTTCTTTAATCGTCTAAAGTGAGATATAAGCGTACTTAATAAATTGTTACTTGTAATATAAGTTCTACTCGAAGGCAAATTTTGAAAATGAATGCTGGTTTCAAGATGGCTACCATGTTTAGCTTATTAAGTACTAATGAAGATTGAGCAAAAAATATAGGATATTTAATTAGGTCCAAATTTAAATTTAAAAAACAGAACATAAACATAAAATTAATTTATTGTATTATTTTTCTCTAATCAGTCTTTGAATCAAGAAAAGGACGGGGTGCATTGTCGGGCAGATATCCCACGGTCAAAATGGAACTATTTATGTGTAAAATGAAGACTACAATGTTCGATAATACTTTGGAAAATATAAGTGTTTGGACACACATAGGATGGGATTGGGATCATTAAGATCAGCAAGGGTGTATTGCTATTGACATAGGGATATGCACCATTGACTTAACATGGGAATTTCTTCATATCCCAATATAGGCGGTCATTGGTTTCCATCGATTATCATAAAAATACCGAAAATACACTATAACCTGAAGAGACAAAGTAAATAATTTTACAATCTGACACAAATGTTATATCACATCAGATGGGATAATAGAATCTGCACCCGGTTGTTTATTAAGTTGTACGCAATGTCTTTGAAATCCAGGACAGTAAAGTGAATTCCTGCAACACAGTTTCATATACAGTCTTCTCAATCCGGAAGTGAAGTCTGTCCATATTATATTACACACGTACAGTAGCACTAATCCTGGCCCCCAGTTAAGTTGTTAATGTCAAAGTCATCCTCGTGTATTTGTGGACATTCATCTTCATAATCATTTTCCCCACATGGAGGACAGACCTCTTCGATGCTGGAAATAATCAGGAAATTATTGATATATTTTGTTCATTGGGATTTGCTACTCTATGGAGTTTAATAGATGGTACCTAGTGTGATATACCATTGGAAAGATCATCCTGAGTTATATTAAATCACCAACTCTCAAGTATTTTGGATGAAATTTACTTATATTTTCATGATGTATTTCATAGTTAATGTACCCTCCTTCAGCATCTTTTATTGCATCAAAATGAGAAGGATATGACCTCAGCAATATGTCAAAAATTTTGTTTGCATTCCACTTCTTCTTCTACAAAAATATCTTCACCACTACTGACTTGCCCCTCTATATGCTACACATCAAACCCTATCCAAAAATTGGTTCAATTCACTGCCATACTTATGTTGTCATCTTGAATTCCTTTGTCTTTTCTGATCCTTGATGCCTTATTTGTAAAATTCTGCCTAATATGTCAGATCACCATGTTACTAGGCGGGGGGGGATTAACTCCAGAGTTCAAAGATGACATTCGCTTATTATCATGTAAACCTGTATTGAGATGATGTATACCTCTGATGGTCCAAATAGATAAACAAAAATGGCGGAATCAAAATAACACTTCGAATAATATCATGTTAATTTCTGGGGTGTTAACCAATATCATAACTTGTTATTTCTCATCAAGAAAAAAAAAGATGTAAGGAGTATGCATTGATTAAAACAAGAGGGGGCAAGACTTATTAACACCCTGATACAGGGTGACTAATATATTTTATATTTATTGTTATGACATGAGACGTGACAGTCATTAAAAATATACAGGGTGTCAAATAAGATCCATTCCATTGCTACAGAAAAGTCAATCAAAAGATGACAACATACATACACCATTGAATTATGTTGGTTCCACCCAAACCATGGTTCTCACAAAGCGAATATTGATTCTTTAGTCGTGAACCACACGTTCCTCTCTCCAAAACATATTTCTCCACTCACTCAGCAAATTCCAACATAGCTTTGTAATGGTTTGCAATGTTCGTGAGTAGACAAATATGATCAGGAAAGAGGAATTGGTGGTTCACGACTAAAGAATCGATATTCATGTTGGAGAACTGTAAATGAATGTCTGAATACATATTTCCAAACTTTACATGGGGACTTTAAGGTTTGACCTGTAACAGGGGGACAGGACTTATTTGACACCCTATATACTGTATATACATTGTATATTGCTTTACTTACTCCTCACAGCGTACTGTTTTGGGGTCTACCACCATATCATCATTGGTGTCACAATTCACACGTTGAGGTTGGCCATTTGTGCAAGTAATGTAGGAGTTACAATCTCTGAAGCATCTGATCCCATTTGGTTGGTTGGGGCAGTCATCACAGGGTGAGACAGCCACTGTAGAGGGAACTTGTGTAGCAACTGTAGAGGGAACTTGTGTAGCACAGTTGTCTCTTGTACCACAGGGTGGACAGACATCTGGTATACTACAAACACAATGTATATGAAGAGGCTAATTGCACTTTCTACTGACAGCGTGTGAGTGAAGAGCTGTTGCTGAAATGTTGCCTTTTTACTGTAATATTGTCCTTTGTGTTTTTTTTGTGGTTTTTGTACTTTCAAAGGGAATGATCGGAAAACTGGTCTGTATCAGAATACATTGCCATCTGTTACCATATCTTTCATAATGGTAGATGGGAAATGGGAATCGTCTTGAACTTTTTATTTTCTATGAATTCAGTATGTGTTTGTGTAAGTATGTTCACAGCACATTTATCTTCGATAAAGATTTTTTCCATTTTCACTTGACTTTATAGTGGTGTGGTGCCAAATCACACCATGAGTGCAGATTTTGCCAAAAGGAGACAATACTTACTACTTCCTAATAATCTTTGTCATGTTATGTACAAAATGATGAGGTTTTATAAAATATATTTTGTTTTGTGGGATTTGCTACTCCAGGGAGTTGCTGTTTTTCTAGTTCTATAAATATTAATGGTAAATGTCATACTATACATTCATTTTAAGTAAAAATACTTACAGTGCACATTCCAGGGTGTCTGGGTCTACTACGAGGTTAGCGTCACATGTCACTCTGATAAGAAGACCTTCAAGACATTCATGATACTCCTTACAGTTGATGAAACACTTAGTTCCACTTGGTGCATTGGCACAGTCATCACACAATGATGGACGTTGGGATGTAGCAATTGTTGGAGCACTTGTTGTAGTAGTTGTGGTAGGGGGTGGAGGTGGCTGAGTGGTGGGCTCAGGAGGAGTGGGGGCCTCTGTTGTTGTGGTTGGTTCTGCAGGGGGGGTAGTGGCAGGTATGGCTGTTGAGAGACTGGCTGTTCCACATGGAGGAAGTACCTCAGCTATCCTATATATTATGAATATATCAAAACTTACAGGTTCATCTACATCAATAATCTGCAAAAGGCTAACAGCCCATTTAAAGCAGATATATATAGCAGGTTATATTTCAACTTTCTAGTATGATTTATTTTTCCAATGAACAAAGTTCAGGTTCAAAAATGTGTCCTATCAATCTGTTCATCTGGCCAGACATTCTTTGCAAACTGAATGTGATTTCAGTAGGTAGATCTGCTGTTGAAGAATAGTTTTTAGTAGATATAGAACTGTCTGTATTCATTGATTTTGAATGAGCTCATGTGTTGAAGAGCATAAGCTCATATTGGTGGATTATCAAATTACCAACCCAAAATATATCAATAATGGCTCATGTCTAGAGACATGAAGTTAAATTGTTAGTAATTAGATTATTTGTCAGGGGGTCATTAACAGAACTTTCGCAAAGTTACAAATTCATAATGCGTTACTTTATGAAATTCGTAAATATTTAAAAAATTACGATTGACTTACGAATTCGTAAAGTTACGAATCAGCCATTAACAGAATGCTTTCGTAAGTCATTCATAAGTTTTATCGTTTGTAAACAAATTTAAAATTGTGACGTCATCTTATATCATTATTTAGCACAAATAAAAATATGATGTCATTTGATATCATTGCGCGTTGTGATTAAACCTGTCTCCGCGATTTCAAAGATTCCCAGCTCAGAAACATATTTGCTTATCATGTAAGAATAGGTGGATATTTTAGCTTGAAACTTAACATGCATATAAAGAACAATTTCTTTTTGCCAACCTGTATACCTTACATAAGAACTTGATGAGAAATTTGCCATTCGCAAAGTTATGAAAGGGTCTGAGGTGCTATTTAAGTTACGAACGAAAGCATATGTGACGTCATTTTTTCGTAACTTTGCGAATCGTTCGTAACTTTGCGAAAGTTCTGTTAATGCACATTTACCAAATTCGTAAAATTAACAATTGACTTGCGAATTCGTAACTTAACAAAAGTTCTGTTCATGGCCCCCAGATTAATTAAAACCAATTTGTGATAACATTTGAGGTAATATCCTTTAGATTCAGAGGTCTCTTCTGAGTAATTGTAATTAAGATATCTGCAACTTTATTATCCCATCGAACGAAGTTCGGAGGGATATAGGGAACGCCTCCGTCCGTCCGTCCGTCCGTCCGTACGTCCGTCCGTCCGTCCGTCCGTCCGTCCGTCCGTCCGTCCGTCCGTCCGTCCGTCCGTCCGTCCGTCTGTCCGTCCGTCCCGATTTTGTTCATATTTCGTACATATATACCCTATGGGGGTAGAAGTTCTGCTCGAAAGCCGGTTTTCAAAATGGCCGCTCATTTCAAAATGGCGGCCATTTTAGTGCCGATTTTACAGTAATTTAGGTGTAATATGTAAAACTGTAATAGCAATATGTTTTAAATGTAAAAAAATTATAAAGGACATTAATAATGCTACAAATGTAGATATTAAAGAAGCACATGGCAGCCATCTTGAAAAATGGCGGCCTTTACTCGTCATTTTACGATTTTTGCTATAACTCAAAAAATAGTGGAGCGATTTTGTTCATATTTGGTATGTGAATACTATAAGCATTGCACACTGTCTAAAGACACTTTTGGTAGAAGGCGGCCATTTTTCAAAATGGCCGCCATTTTAACATATTTTACTATAACTCGAAAAGTAGTGGAGCGATTTTGTTCATATTTGGTATGTGAATACTATAAGCACGGCACACTGTCCTATGACACTTTTGGTAGAAGGCGGCCATTTTGAAAAAAAATGGCCGCCATTTTAACGTATTTTACTATAACTCGAAAAGTAGTGGAGCGATTTTGTTCATATTTGGTATGTGAATAATAAAAGCATGGCACACTGTCCTATTACACTTTTGGTAGAAGGCGGCCATTTTGAAAAAAAATGTGAAAAATGGCCGCCATTTTATTAATGTATTTTACTATAACTCGAAAAGTAGTGGAGTGATTTTGTTCATATTTGGTATGTGAATACTATAAGCATGGCACACTGTCTATTTCTAATGACACTTTGGGTAGACAGTGGCCATTTTGAAAAATGGCCACCATTTTAACGTATTTTACTATAACTCGAAAAGTAGTGGAGCCATTTTGTTCATATTTGATATGTGAATACTTTAAGCATGGCACATTGTCTAATAAAACTTAGGGGAGTAGTCGGCCATTTTGAAAAATGGCCACCATTTTTATGTGTGTTATTTTACAAGTACGTGTGCGATTTTTCAAAAATTTTAGAGGTGGCTACTTAAAAGCATATTATTTCTTCTGATAACTTGGCTAGTGAGCAACCATTTTGAAAATGGTGGCCTTTCTGGTGTGTTGTTTTATGATATTTGCTATTCGTTTGTAAAAATGCCAGCCATTTCTGTTCGATGGGATTCGCTACGCTTTGGCGTTGCCGTTGTTCTGGTTTCATTTTGTTATATCATGATTCATTTATCTCTAAATGAGTAAAGTTTTGGATATGCTCAAGAAGAAAACAAATTTTGTTGTTGAGATTTGATCTCCTTGGAGTTGCTTACATTTCGTAATGCTATAAGTCACAGATATTTTAAATAAGTCACAGATATTTTACTTTTGGATTACAACTTGAAAATGATTGAGATCATGATGTTTGTACATTTCATATGTTGCATAAGTGAGAATAAGTACAATGAACTCACGGCCTGCATGTTCCGGTTGTTGAATCCACCACTGTACCAGCTTCACACACCAATGTATTACTTTCTCCATTCTCTGCACATATCACCAACACCTTATATGGTTGAAGATTTTCATATTTTAATACAAAGGCCTTGAATTGAACATGATGCAGAACTGCCAAATTTGAATTGAACGATCGTGAACAGTCAAACTGTACATAATATTGTAACTATGTCTCAAACTGCTTTTGCAAAATTATTCAGAAACATTGTGATACCTCATAAATAAGTCATTATTTCATACTTTAATGTAGAGTCTGTTTAAAAATGCTGATTTAAATGTGAAGCTATGATTGGAAGGGAAGTTAACTCCACCATGTTTATTATTATTATTACCTGGCAATCTGAATAACACACAGTACCAGGTGTTGCGTTTGTACAGTTACATGGATTAGGGTCTGTGGGGCATAGTCCTACATTCTCCCCTGTACCACATGGAGGGCAGACATTATATGGCCAGTCACAAACACCATTGTTCACATTAAAGACAAGACCTGAAAATGAAGCATGATTTGAATTGCTGTTTGTATCATTTTTATAGCAAAAGTGCTATATTGCCGTCATTTTGTGCTGATGGGTAGGTGGATGGACAGATGTTCAGGCAGGCAGCCAGGCGCTACATAAATCAAATCTTGTCATCAACTTTCCAGGATAACCGCTTACCTATTTAACTTGAAATTTGTAGGCCATGCTGGGTAAATTGTGTTATGTTATATGGTAAGAAGTTCTAGAGCTGATTAACTTTTCGGCAGCCATCTTGCAGTCTGGTGGCCATTTTGGAAGTTTTTTAGATAAGTCTTGTCATCTCGATTTCAGGAAAACCAATAAACAGATTAACTTCAAATTTTTACACATGTTACATGGTAAGAAGTTCTAGCCCACACTGCTATGTTTTAGGTACAATATTGTTCGCCCTGTGCCTTGTTGTAACGGTAATTTGGTGTTTTTTCTAGTTGTTACGTTTAAAGAAAACTATTCTTTGCCATACATGGGAGGAAATCGTAAATGAGCTAAAAGAGATGCATCTTTTTAAAGCAATAATGATGTGATATTTCTACTGACTCTTATATTAGTCTCTTTGTGTTTAGATAGATGGCCTACCATCAGGGCAGAATTGTCTGGTTGCAAAGTTTCCATTGCTGCATAAGTAGTATGTTGTACACCCTGTCTCTATATCGGGGTAGTAACCATCTGCTCTCCCTGTGCAATTCTTGTCTGACCCAGTTCCACATGGTGGAGGAGCTTCTGCTTCCCTATATACACAAGTTGTGTGGTTTCAGGATAACTAAATATATTTTAAGTAATGTAAGAGGTTATTGTCTGATACTTATTTAGTTTGATTCACAGTGGTTTGTGTTTAAATGTTGGTTGGTTTTGGAATCTAAAAACAGGGCATTAACATGACAAAATGTCATCTCCTAGTTGCTCACAATATTATGAGGTATATCTTAAGTCAGATTTGAATTTCTGAGAAAAAAACCTTTTTGACCTTGAGAAGGTCATTGAAGGTCAAATCTTTTTTCACCTTGAGAATGTCATTGAAGGTCAAATCTATAGTCAGATTTGAACTTTTGAGAAATTGTAGATGATTTTGAAGTCAGATTTGAACTTCTGATAACTTGTAGGTGATTTTGAAAAAAAATTGTCAGATTTGAATTTCTGAGAACTTGTAGGTGATTTTGAAAAAAAATTGGTCAATTTGAACAAGTTGAAAAAAGAACTTTTAACCTTTTTTCACCTTGAAAAGGTCATTGAAGGTCAAATCCTAAATATTCTGGTAGTCAGATTTTAACTTCTGAAAACTTGTAGATGATTTTGAAAAAATTCAAGTCTGTCTAAACAGTATTTGTTAAGTTATTGGAAGTTGTAAGAATTTGTTACAGACGCCGATCACCAACCACTGATTGCCAATCACCAACCACCAACCACCAATCACCAACCACTGATCGCCAAACCACCTACCGCCATCAAAAAACGGAGACCATAACAATATGTCACCACTTTTTGTTGGTGACATAATGAAGAATTAATTACAGAATTAGTTATTAGATATGGATGCTTGACTTACGGGACACATCTTGCATTTTCAAAGTCAATAACTTCATAGTCTCCACAGGTTATTACGACTTCTACCTTGTTGAAACACCTAATTAATTCTTTACAGCCCACAGTACAGACATAACCATCTGGTCGATTTGTACAATCACATTGCCCACACACCAGCTGTACACCTAAGTTATAAACAATTTGGTGCTGTATTGCTCATAGATACTCAATATCTCGTACAAGTAATAGCATACTTTTGAGCAATAAGACAGATTAGCTTTGTGAGTTTAGAGGTTTTTCTGTAACATACAGAGTTTGAGACAAAACTAATTATTTATGCAAATAATATATAGAATGGTAATTACACTTGCACATAATACTGCATCTTAGAATGATAATAGTAACATGTTGGGAGTTATTGAATCTCAACCACTCTTTATATTGCTGCGACAATTTCTGGGCTGTTTATACAACCCGCAATATTCTAGGTATTACTTAAAGGTGTTGTTATAATTATTAATTATTAAATTAAGACTATTACGTGACAATATGAATGTGCTCACCTGTAACTGCCACCAAAATCAGTAAAAAACAGGTGTTGGACATCTTCATTTTGCAGTGACGTATTTTAAAAGGAGTAATGCTGCTTGTCAGTTTGTCAGTGTTAAAGGTCTCATAAAGGGGATTTGGGATGGGCTGAAAGTGTGGCATCTCTTTATAGTAAAATATCTTGAGGTTTATATGAAACTTGTTTAATGGTAAATTGTATAAAAGGCAAATTATTTTAAGGCATAAACTAGAAGTAGTATTTGTTTATATTATATCTACCATGAGGTTGATAACTTGAATGTTATGTATCAGGTATGCCCCTTATAGAGGCCTCATCTGAATTCTGTAAAGTACAATAGAATCTTGACTTTTTAGATAGCATATATGGGTCAAATACTGTCGAATATGCATGCTTGTTGCAATGCTTGACTCAATAGACTAAATGCCATTAAAAGTTGTTAATCAGCTTTAGTATCTCCCTAGAGTACATGCTATCAAATCATGAAAATTAGAATATCTTCAAGACAAGATCTTATAAAATGACATAACATTGTGGGTCAGTTTAAACTTGAGACACCTGTTATCAGTATGTTGTTTTAACAGTGGACAATGAACTTTGGCAACACACAATGGACTCTCTTGAAAGCCCATGAACATACTTAATCATGATAATTCATAGACTATTGTCTTTTAAAAAGAACAACTTCATTAATAATTAGTTATTTATTTCTATATTTTAATTTTAAAATATAATATAGGTGTCATATCTCATGCTCTTCAGTCTGTTTTCATGACAAGCATCCAAGTTGTAAGTTACAAGTTCTACAATTTTATGTTTATAATTTAGAATTCATACATTCTTACAGATGTGCCCATCTACAGAAGGAGCTGCTCCTAGCTGCTATTGACTGTTGTGATGCCAAGTCTAAGACTGGAGGATACATCATCTATTCTACATGCTCTGTTATGGTAAGTTATTATACCAAGGAATTACTCTTCGTTTTCCTGTCTAACAGAAATTAAAATAACTTAGAATTCAAAATCAGTTTAATACTGGGTTCTCCCCAGAATCTAATTGCATGGCGCTCCCCCCTGCTCACTCAATTTACCCCCCCCCCTGTCCCCCCCCTGCTTGCTTCACCCATCCAGGTTCCTCAATATAATCATAAACAGGCCAAGGGAAGAAGTCTTCGATTTTGAGGCAGCATGGGGGAGGTGGTTTGACATGCACCCCAGAAGATGCAGGGACAGGAGGCTTTAAGGAAATTGAACAATGAACACTACAACCATATTATCATGTAGTATTATTAAATAAAAGGTTTTCTAAATGAGATTTTGCAAGTGAAGAAATAATCCTGGGGAGCTCACTGTAATGAGTAATACATGTATTTTTTATGTTTTCAGTACCAGGAGAATGAAGATGTTATTGAGTATGCCTTGAAGAAACGCAATGTTAAATTGGTGTCTACAGAGCTGGACTTTGGCAGGGAGGGATTCACTAAGTATGTGCTTTTGTTTCATTTTATCTTGTATTAAGGTAGTTCTATGCTCAGAGGCCTAAATTTAATCAACAATAAATCATTCATCTACAGAAATGGTCCTGATTTCTGTTTTTATCAGTATGTGTAGAAACTCCATCACATAGTATGCCCAAAAACTAATCAGTTCTTCATACCAAAAGACATCCCTAAAGATTTCAGATCAATATACCTAACGATGGCTTTAAACATGTAAAAACACTTTACACTTACAGACAAGAATTTAGCACAGAATATCAAAAATTGTCCCTTCAAATTTACCCGATTGCCCCAAAACTCAAAGACACCAGTAACAAGGACCAAATCAGGTGATTAGTCCTTGTCATTTTCCCACGGAACAAAGCTTCGAGACGGATATAGAAAAGCTGTCCGTTTGTGTGTCTAGGGCAATTCAATTAAGTACATGTAATTCAATGCCACTAAGTGACCCCCATTTGTGGTAATGCCTCATGCAGAAGTGTGATTCTCATATTTTTCTAATCCTACAGCTCACATTTTTCAGGATGCAAGGCAAGAGGTTCCACCAGAACATGAAGTTGACTCGCAGATTCTACCCTCATGCACATAACATGGATGGCTTCTTCGTGGCTAAACTGAAGAAATTCTCCAACAAAATCCCTGGACAAGGTACAGGTTCTTCCATTTGACATCTATACAGCTACAAAGCTAAGAATTGCTACTAAAATGATGATACTGAGAAATGCACTGATTTGGGTTCAAGCACAATTTTTGATAATATAAAAAATATTAGAATGTGTAGAAGTACATTTAACATTTGACTGAAAAAAATCATCCTATAAGTTTTTTAAGATAGAGCATTCAAAGCATTCAAGTATAGAGTAAATATATTGCTGTTTCAGAATCTGCAGGAGCAGAGGAAGAGAGCATTGACACAGAGGATAAGAAGGAATCTGATGATGAAACCACATCATCGCCTATATCCTCCACTACAGATAAAGCACAACAGAAAGGACAGAAAAATAAAAATAATCAAAGAGATAATTCAAAACCAAGAAGTAATCCCAAGAAACGCAAAATAATTGAAAGTGAGACTGCCGATAAGGAAGAGAATAGTGAGGATGTTTCAAAATCTGAGTCAGTTAAAAAACAGAAAATGAAAAAGTCTCAATCATCTCTCTCTCCAAGTGGTAAATCTAAAGTGAAGAAAGGTTCTACTCCAAGAAAAAATAAAGGAAAGATTTTTAAGAGGAAGAAAAAGTATTAATAGAGAACTATCTGATGTTGGAATCAGCCTTAAAATAAGAATAAGAGAAAAAAATAAAATACACATTTTTGCATTTGAATCATCACCATTACATTAGATATCATGGACATTTCTTGACATTTTTTTCTTGGCGTTTTTTTTTGGCCCACCCTGTAAATACAATTATATTTGTAAAGGCATAGTTGTTCATCCCTTCTTGCAAGATTCTACCCTCAAGGTGTCATCTTGCATGATGTCCAAGTATAAATACCATATGTACAATATTATTATTTAAATTACATTAAAATAAAGATGAATTAGTGAATAACTGGTGTTGTAAATGTTTCCAATAAAAGTTAGATGGATGCTGTCATTTTTATGTCACCGCCACAAGTAGTAACATATTGTTAGTCTCCAACTTTTTTGTGGACGGTGTTGGGCAGTTGGCATTCAGTGGTCAGTATGTAAAAAATTCTAAAAACTTCTAAAAAGTGCTTTTTAGACTGACTTCATTTTATTTTCAAAATCACCTACAAGTTCTCAGAAGTTCAAAGGATGAGTCTGGGAATGAGTCTGGGTATAGACTTAGAAAATATTGAAAATTGTAATGTCTGAAAAACCAACTCAATCACACATATTATTAAACCTCAATATCTTATCCTTCTTCTGAGATTACAAAAATATCAATTTGTATCACAATTGATGAAGAATATTGGCATCAAAGGCAGTGCATATCACTTTGTCAGAACTGAAAAAAAATCAATGGCAAATATTAAATGAATTATTTATGCAAAAAGTTTGAAACATATCTTCCAAAACATTGGTTACTTTCTTTGTATAGACATTGAATGGTATTTCTGGATAAGTGAATTGGTGTTTATCTGGGTAATCAAGGGATTATAGTCACTCAAAGTTACTGAGCATCCAGTTTTGAGACTTCAATTGTGTTGGTGATGTTACACATATTTCAGTCAAATTCATGCTGAGCACAACATTTTGGTTTCAATTTTATAATCTCTATACATGACCCTGGTGATGAAGAGTCAGAATCAGTGAAAAAACCTAAACCAGAAAACTGTGCTCATTGTGAAAACTAAAAGTGAAGCAACTTTTTTTCTGACATTTCTTACATCAAATGGCAACCATCTTGTTTTTCCCCCTTCAAATTAAACTGGCGGGAAATTCAAAAATTTGAAAAGATTTTAATCCTTAAATATATTTCAAAAATATGATTTTCTCTTTAATTCTTCATGGGTCTTAATTTTTTCTATGATAATGACTATATTTTTGTTTGTTAAGATACTTATTCCGACTCTCAGCAGGGGGTTAATTATGCATCAAAACTCGTGAAAAAGTAAATATACTTATCAAATATAACTAGGACAGTAATAAAAACCATATTTCACATACATTTGACTGAGAGACCAAAAGGGCATATACCCGGACACATCCTTTGACTTAGGTATGAACTTTGACCTTCAGTGACCTTCTCAAGGTCAACCAAAGAGGTCAGATAAACTAGTTTTATGTACAGTAAACCTGTGAGCTCTTGTAATCTATGGAGTTTCAGCCAAGTTAATTTTTTTGAAAATAACATGTCAGAAAAGCATCAAAATACAAGGGCCCACACAATTTATTAGCCAACTACAAGCAATCCAAGATATACAAGATATGACGCAGAACTCAACTGACTCCTATTGCAATGTAGCAAATCAGAGTAATCTGCTGAAGTGACAGTGACTTCAAACTATATGATAGTTTATAAGTTGTATATGCAAATCATCTTACTATAGAATATATTTATTTTAATATGTTACTTTTCATGTAATCATGATGAATGTTTTTGTAGTACAGTAAAGAATGATCAACAAAATATGATTATTTCAATTTAGATATTTTATTCCATACTGAGTTTTCATTTCCATTCTCTGAAATATGAAACACTGAAGGCAATTCAAGTGAATGTGTCACTAGAGTGAAGACTTTACAGACGTTAGATGTACACAAGAATATACTTTTAAGTTGAAATCCCTCTAAGTTGAACACTAAAAGTGTTTTGCAAGTATTCATCTTGAAGAGGTCGGTTTAACAATCAGAATTGAAATTGAATTGAAATTAATAATAAAAAGTGACCATGTGAAATATTCACATAAGTGTTCATCTCGGAGGGTATTGAAAGGTTTTATTGGATGTTAAAACTACAATACATGAATTATAATGTATAACAGTGATGCCATCTAAAATGATAATGTACAGGAATATTGATCCCGCGTATTAGAGACCTTGAAATTGCACTAAAAGGTAAAACCTGCAAGTGAATGTGAAATTACACATACACATACAGGTGGCATGTGTTTTTTAAGGTCTCTGAGTATATGACAATATCAATCAGGCATCATAGAAATCATTCGCTTAATACCATGATTTCTGTTGAATTGGAATTACAAGATCGCAATAACCAAAATAAACTGTCTAACATGGAAATTATAAACAGTAAAGCCTGTATATCCGAAAACCTCTCTAATCTGAACAACTCTCAATGTGACTGCTTTTGTCAGTCCCATTTATTTTACCTTCCATGGTTTTTCATGTTTAAAACTCAAAATGTGAACACCTTCTTCAGTGATGTTCGGATTAGACAGATTTTACTCTTTGTGTTAAAGTTAGCACAAAAACAATTTATTTAATTGATAATAACCACACCAGTCAATATAAATAGTGCACAAATGCATAAAATTGTAAAGTAATAAGTACTATAGTATTTGATCAATGTCTTGTCAAACTGGAGATTTAAATCCTCAAAGTCAATCTGCTCCTTTTTGAAGAATTTCAATATTTTAACTCGGAATGATCTTTGGTTTCTGCATCTGCCCCTGAAAATATAAATTATCAAACAATAGTACCAGGCGACTACTCGAACATAATGTCATGCTGGAAATAGCGCATATTTGAAAAATGACATCGCAAAATGTTGGTCATTGGCATCAATTGAGAGGTAATTATAATGCTAAAAGTGATTTTTGGCTTTAGATTTAGAAAATCTGTGATGTCATAAATTAAGCCTTTCATAACTTGGCAAAAGACATAAATGAAATCTTCTCCTTGGTCACATTTGCTCCGATTCATCGGCTGGCGCTTGGCCGATTGAGTATTTTGTTCAAAATTGTATTCAACCAATCTCACCATTAGTGTCATGTGTCTGGCATTGTGTGTCATGTGTCTGGTCTTGTGTGCCATGGGACTCATCTAGTGTGTCAGAGTTTTCAAATGTTTGATATGTTCTCCTTGATGCCAATTTTAGTGAAATTTCCAGGATACCAGCATTCTGATAAACTGAAACATGAAATATTGCAAAAAGAGCACATATATGTAAACAGAAAGGACCAATTAACCTACTTATTATACTCATAGTTGCCATGTATATTGTGTATATATAATTGTTACCAGCCAACAAGTCGAAATGGACCTATAGTCCTATACATGAACTTATTTTGTTAACTCTTATTCTTAACTAGATAATAGCAATGCCAAAGCGTAGCAAATCCCATCGAACAGCCATAACTGCCATTTTTACAACATCCTTCTTCTACTAGTAGCAAAAATTGTAAAATGACACACATAAAAATGGCCACCATCACTAGCTTTGTTCTGTAGTAGCACATATAAAATTTCAACAAAATCATGCACGTACAAATACATTCTATGTTTATGGGTATTCATATATCAAATGTGAACAAAGTTGCTCAATTACTTGTAAAGTTATAGTAAAACGTAAAATAACACAAGTAAAAATGATGGGCGTTTGTTCGTATGTACGGAGACATTCCCTATACCCCTCCGAACTTCATTCCATTGAATAATTATTAATTACAGGGTTGCTATGCATATTGCACTGGTGATCCACTCGATTACGCTGGTTACCGAAGCTGATCGTTTCGGTAACAAAATGTTGGAACGTCGGAGGTACGATTTTTCTTTTTCCCTATTTCACGCATTGTAGGCAGAATCCCCACAACGTTTTTCTCACAAACGTGTATCAGTATCATATGTTTTAGAAAATGTACATGTTTGCGAAAAAATACCTCAGAAGACAACAGAATCGTCGATTTAATTCCTCACTCAAGTTACAGAAACGGTTTGGGTTAAAAGTGCAGATCTTAACTGTTTTTCGAAATACCGTTTCTGTAACTGAAGTGAGGAATTAAATTGACGATTCTGTTGTCAACCAACCCATGTGAGGTGACATAATAAATGTTAAAGCCCAAGTACCTTAATGTATAAATAGTATTTTTTTGTTATTACATTCATGCAATTATGAAAGCCCAAGTACCTTAATAAGCACTAAAGTAGAGTCATTACATCAAGAATGACAAAGCATCAAGTTTCTGTTACGTTCTCCGATACACCAAAATTCCCTCAAACTGAAAGCATAGTCATTATTTACAGTAGTTCAATACAATCATGCAGCATCTACTTTCTACATTAGATATAATAAAAAGATTGAACTATTAAAGTGTCAGCTTGACTCATGTGAGATCATAGAACTCAAAATTCATGCGTCATGGAAGAGTCAAAATTCATACGTGATTATAGAAGAGTCAAAAGTTACTCCACATTCATTATCATTGGAGAGTCAAAACATATATGTGATCAATTGGAGACTCCAGTCTGATTTCAGAAAAGTTAAAACTTATGAAATAGTTAAAACTTTGTGATTTATTGAAAAGTCAAAATATTTAGAAAGATTTAAAAGAAAAAAACAACACTAAATCACAACATTATCGATTTTTATACAACGTATAACTATAACGAAAAATAATATCTTTATGAGTGTAGGGTACCTTTTTCTTTGAGTCCTTTGTCAAAGTCTCTATATGTAATTACACTTGTTGCATTCAGAGCGACCCGGGTAAGGAGGGCAAAACATCCAAATGCATTTACTACCCCCGTAAGGTGGCTATCAGGGATAGATAAATCATAATCAAACTGAGCCTGAAAACAAGAAAAAAAAACTTAATAACAGCAACACCAAGGCTTAGCACATCGCATCAAACAGCGATAAAAATACTGTAGATTGGGTTAATTTGGCGATACTTAATTTGGCGATTTTGCCATATTTGGCATATTGGCGGCTATTTAATTTGGCGGATTGCAAAAAGAAATTTTTTTTTTAAGGACCACTGGCGATATTCACCACGTTTGTACATTTTTGTGAGATCATCCTTTACATTTTGTACCTCGATCTATGCTGCTACCATACTGCCTGAGTATTAATGAGTGACTGACCAGTTCTGAGCCAATTTATGAGAGACATTTTTCATATTTTTGGAAAAAGCTAAACCGGAAGTGACCTAAATACACTGGACCAAATACCCTAGATAATTCCCGGGGATTCATTCTAAATTGCTCCTATTAATTTTTTTTATGTAAATCATTTTATTAAACCTACAAATCCAACAAATTGTCTTAAGAAAGTGTGGTATCCATATTTCATATTTAATTAGAAACCCTTGTCCTCCACTGAACAAACATGTAAAATTGGCCAAATAGAAGTTATGTTGCAATTATCTTATAATTTCATATTCTGCCTGTACCTATTCATCAAAACTTTCACCCAATGATGTCATCGATTGCAATTCACTCATACAACCAAACCAAAAAAAAAAAAAAAAAATACAACCAATCAGTGCAGAGAAAATTATTGATTTTATATGCTCCGTGGAAGGGTAATTGATTTGGAAGACAAGCACACATTTCTTATTAAGTCTTACCTCTCTAATTTTGTAGATGACATATGCTGGCTGGATTATGGCTGTGCCCCAGAATATCCACATTAACTGAGACTTCTCTAAACGACTCTGAAAATAATGTGAAATTATTGTATGTTGTATATTGTGAGACAGGAGGCACATTCAATTCGATGTTTTCAATTCAATTTATGTATTTTAAGTTCAATGTAAACAATCAATTATTGATTTTTTCAATGTCTCTGTATTCAGAACTTACTGCTAGATAGGCAAGGAGAGTCCATCCTATAACAAAAACAATCCCTATGCCAAGCACGAGCTGTTCTTTAGTGCTTATAGCCCTACCATGCCTCAAAGTAAGAATCAACATTGTCACCTGAAATAAAAATTGAGAAAATGTGAAGAGAGTAAGATATATGTTTGTCTAATAAAATTATCACTGTTGATTTTAAAAATAGTACCATGGGTACTGGGCTCACATGGTGTTGCTCAGAAAGAGAAAAGTGAATGATGGCTAAAATGGCAGACAATAAAAAAAGCAGATATAAATTTTTGCCAATTCTTTTACAAAATTATCCCATTAAACTACTCTTTACAGTGACATGTGTTTTTACAATACAGGACACCTGAAATAAGCAGGGTCCACTTATTTGTTGCCATGGTAACATTTCAAGTCAATGTGACTGCATTCTTAAGTTACAGTAGGTAAGAAATGTGAGAAATTTATTAGTGTCACTATGTATCAAGAACTTCACATGAAGGGTAAAAAAAGTTACATGCATCTAAAATGTCCAAAAGCCTCCTGAGCACTCTTGATTAATGACAAGGAATTAAATAAATTATAAACCCCAAACAATTTTACGTGGAACATATACTCACAGATAAATGGAAATCTAGTTTTAATGTTGCTAAATAAAGCTGTCTGTTTTTACAGATGACTTTCAGGTTGTCATTGTGTCCCACAAGTCTCAAGACAGAGTTCTCTGATATGGCATAATCGCTGAAAATATAAATTATGGCCTTAATCATGCTTTTCAGTCTAAAGGTACTTGCCATTTGTTTCTGGCACAAACTGAAGTAAGACTCTCCCAATCTCTAATGTTCTGTTATGTTGAGTCTGATACATGTACGTAAAGCCACTTACAGTACTTTACTTGTTTAGATACAGCCCTATATATGCCTAGAGACAGAACTTACCCGCCAAGATCGCGGGGAATTTTATTATATATATTATATGTATTCCATACCTGCTGAGGTTCTAGGTACATAACGAGCGCGAATATATAGTGTATCTATGGAGCGATCGCCAAGGTTCGAGACTGGGATGGATACAAGACGGAAGTGTCCATCCCAGTCCCGCTTGTGAAAGGTGAACTCAATTTACATTTTACTCCATTCGCAAAACAGAGATTGTATTTCAAACTTATGCTGCATATTTTAACTTTTTAGTATCAATTTATTAATCCGCTCCAGCAATATATGAATTTAAAAATTACACAAATTTAAAAACTACTTTTTAAGACTAAGAAAGGAGGAGGGAAATTAAACAGGTGCATATGTTAGGCGAATGCATTACCTCCAGGAAAATCACTTCTAGAGATGATAAAATAATTTCGACTTTGAGACAGGGTAGATGCAAACAACCCACCCACATGTTTTTTCTGAAATATTTTCCTGATTTTCAACCCCTTCCATCCCTGCTTTTTTAATTTTTCTTGCATCAATATGTTGCGTTTTGACACACAGTGAATCCCTTAAAAGGAATAAATGATTCCTCTTAGATAAAGTGGAAAACAATATTTCCCATGTTATTTTCCCATAGGGAAAAATAATTGCTTTCAGCTAAATCTGGTCACCCATAATGGGTATCTTTAAAACCCCTGAAGGAATCACTTATTCCTTTAAAGTGGTCAATTATGTGTCAAAACACAACATATTGATGCATGAAAAATTAAAAAAGCAGGGATGGAAGGGGTAGAAAATTAGGAAAACATTTCAGAAAAAACATGTGGGTGGGTTGTTTGCATCTACCCTGTCTCAAAGTCGAAATTATCTTTAGAAGTGATTTTCCTAGAGGTAATGCATTGGCCTAACATATGCAATTGTTTAAATCCTCAGAAAATGGCCAAAATCCAACATATGACTGTCCAAAATCTGTTGCGCTAATTTCCCTCCTCCTTTGGGCCCAAAATTTTTTTTCTTAAATTTGCTTAAATATAGCCCATTACCTGCCTAGATACATACTGCATGGCACCAGAAATACACCAGCTGCCCCAAGTCCAACAATTCTCACCTGAAAATAGATAAGGTAAGATAGAGAGCAGAGACATAGAGAAAAAAATTAGAGGTTCCATGCAAAGTTTGAAAATATGGTTTAACCATTCAAATACTACTTTTCAGGACTTGAAAAACTATTTGAGACTCTTTTGAAAATTTTGACTTCCGAAAAAAAGTTCTTAATCTTATAATTTTCAAATATTTGAATTTCCCGTCATTTTACAAACAAAAATTTAGTCTTTTTAGATCATCAAATTCAACAATTAACACTGTAACCACATTATTTCTCTACTCCATTGAACAGATCAGCAAAAGTCATATCATTTCAACCATTCAATCAATGATTTCATGCATAACTTTTAAAGCCCAAAAACACAGAGTGTATGTCAAATAGATATGTTATGGATAAACAAAATTTCAAACAGTACTCCTCTTTTTTTGGTTAGAAATGAAAAAGTGTAAACTGTTTACCAATAAACATCTTTGAAACAAATATGAAGAAGATCCATCTATTAGTATTCTAGTTATTTTCTGGACAGATGGACATACAGATGGACAGAGGGTTTCATTATATTTGTTGTATTTACAGAACACAAGATTTGCATTAATCTATTGATGCTGAAATTGCCGGTTGTTATGAATTTTGGGAATATATGGGGTCTGAACCAAAAAGTGATGAAAATGAACAATTTGGCAGATTGCTTTTTAGAAAGTTTTATAATTTTGTTGAGTAAGATATGTCTTTTAAAAAGCGCGATAGTAGAGCTTTCCTACAGTTTGCATCAAGTTTAAAGTTGTTTTGTTTGATTTTTGTATTTTGCCTAATTAAATATATTCCACCACATGGAAAAACTGTTAAATAATTAAATAGCCGATTATTGACTATTTCAACATTATTTCAAATGAAAGAGGTAATATTAATATTTCTGTTTTTCATTTTAAGTAACCCAATAACTATTTTGATTAATGAATTATAAGTTAACTAAAGAAATAACATTTTGCTAAGTGAAAATGCTTTTACCTTTACCTATAGTTGTGTAAAATGGAAACTACATGTATATAGGTCAGTTCAAATGGACTTTTGATAGGATCTCAGAGATTTCTTCTACTTTCATGGGTGAGAAGGTTCTATAAAGAAACAACCTTATTGTTTTCTAAAAACATGTGAGCAGTGACAAGATTTTTAAACATCTCCAATATGTAGCCCCCACATAGAGAACGCCATGACTGAGCAAAGCGAACGAGCTTTGAGGGGGGTTTGGTTTGGTTTCTTTCCCCCAAACAAATTTGAAAATGAGATTGCATTTGAAGCGTTCTGGGGCATTTTAAAATACGAAATTTTGGGTAATATTTGATTAATGAAATGTAAATTATTGGCCATTTTTTCAGAAAATCCAGTATTTTTAAAGTGTGGGGCAATTCAATATAAAAAAATCAACTTTTCTCTGAGAGTACGCCATGGCGTTTTATGCATATATGACACTACGCCATTGGGATGATTCATATATGGTCACTTACCCACTTAGCAGGTGTTGTCCATTCAGTCATCCCAACACTAACCATTAATTGTAGAACAACTTCAGCCAAGCAATACAGGAATATGTCATAGTGTAACTCTTTCAAAGTCCCATAATTTTGATAAAAAGTGCAGAAACCTGTAAATAGAAAATAAAAGAAATATTAGATAAAAACAAGAAACACTGCTGAATTTTCACTGACAGGGGTCATTGTGATAACAAGTGTAAAACACTGAAAAAGTGTCCCATTTTTGCCCAGGTCTCCCCTACCTTGTCTGAAAACAAACATGCAACCAACTGGATTATGATAAACTTGAAGAATAAAATAATAGTGCAATAAGAACTGTGAATAACCAAACTTATGGAATAAAAAAAAACTGAACCAAGCCAAACATTTTGAAATTGTGACCTCAAATAAGTAGATGTTTATAAATACCTGCCATGGTGAGTACAAGCAACTCAACAGTGAAGTCATCTTCTATACTAATGGCAAGCTGGTACACACACACTACCATAACCAGAACAGCTTGTAACAATCCAATGACCATATACAAAACCTCTTTCTTGCTCAAATCATTCAGATGACGTATCTATAATAACAAAAACACAGATGTACATTGTACATGTATGAACATGTAGAAGATCTTTTATCGCAGAACATAACCGTCGCCATGGTTTATTACAGGAGTGGGAGTTCACTTTTTAGGAACAACCTTGAAAGGGATCCTTGGTACACATGGGGCATCTTTTTAAATATTTGGTATGGCAATTCAGCCAAATTTTAGGATCCAGTATGAGAATGCACAGAAATATATGCTTCTGAGGTATGATTTATTTCTGGTATGAGAATGGTCATGAAAGATATGTTACCTCACACTTGGGGTATTATGGCATTGGTACTGTGCAGAAAGTACTTACACATGTCCTTAATTGTTGGTTTTGATAGTTTCGTCCTTGTTTGGACCATGAGCTTTCAATTAGAAAGCCCATGTTTAGACCAATCATAGGCTTGAATCAAGCTATTGGTCTTATGATTAGACACCTGGCATGGTACATGTATATTGGTCCAAGGATCAAGGGCTCGAGAAATTAATTTCAGTGCAAAAGTGGCCACTGGAGCATGTTTTTTAAAGTGCTGTAACATTGTGACTATCAGTCTGATGGTCATGAAATATAGTAGGCTGGTAGGAAATTGAATGATGTACAAATGTGTAAAATATCAGGGACAAAAGGAGTGTAACTACATACTGAATACTGAATCTGTAAAACAATACCATAATTGTGATCTACTTCAAAATTGAGTATAGTATATCCATACATTGAAGAGATCAGAAAATTTCACAAGGCCCGAATCGGAAAAACGTTAATAGGGAGGGGGGTACAAAATATTTTGAGGAAAATGTGTAACATATACAGTATCCGCGTGAAAAGTCGGAATTGAACGAAAATCATTCGTTTTTTCAGAGTTAGTTTTTTTCGGCATTCATTTTTTGCTGTATTGGCGATCACTTTATTGAAGATTTTCTACAGAAATCATGCAAAAATCAGGTACATGTAATGCCCATTTGCGTGTTGCGGTGTTCGCTGGTTGGCATACGGCATCTGTAAAAAATAGCAGGTAAAATAGCAGGTTATATTTTGTATAGTCGTGTTTGCCTAACTAACCCTACACTACTATCTGCACATAGAGAGATACATGTACATCATTCCCACAGATTTGGTTATCATTGAATGCAGATTGAGATTTTAGAAAATTTGAACCTGCGAATCATTAGATGATGAGATATCAACAACGACCAATGGGATTCAGACTATTGCGATTCAGACGGTTGGGATTCGGACAATTGGTATTCGGACCAATGTGTTATGATGTGTCCTAGAAAAACTAAAATAAGAACATTGTGGGTGATAATAGACAAATCAAGAAATCTCCTATGGCAGCGTATACCGCTACACTAGCCGTATAGAATTTCCATATCATCAGTGATTAAGCCAGTGTGTTTGCCATCTGATACCTCTGCAGTAGGAATCTTGGAAGAGTGTAGCTACTAACATTGATAAGGCATAAACATGAATACTTAACTGTTAAAATGTCTAATGGATAAACATAGAAACGTCTTGTGTTAATTGAATGTAAAGCTGTGTATAATGCTACATTTTCTAGTCACTAGTACCCCACACAAGTTTTCGATAATAACTTTAACCCTTGATTTGAACACTCGAGATCTACTATTTGTTATTGAATTTAGCACACATGAACTCGAGGCAATTTCCACATTGGAATTTATTTTTATTTTACTTCAATAACAATAAAAAAAGCAACTGAACCAAGGATGTCATTAATCCTTTTTAACAAATTTGATGTCATAAAATCAAAATTAAGAATTGTTAAAGTATAAGTCTTTATGGTCTTTTTGAATAGTCTATTGGTAGTCTGTATATAGACAGCTAAGCTTTGTCTATCAACAAAGCTTTATTTATGAAATATACTTGCCCTTGATATCTAGTTGTCCCGGTCATAAATGTACTACAATTTCAACATCATATTCATTGAAACAATGTAACGATGGTAATATGTGTAGCATATGGCTAGATTTAATTTAAATAGTAGGCTTATAGGGGAGAATGTTCAAATCATGGGTCAAAGTTATTATCAAAAACTTGTGTGGGGTACTATAATACTGATCCTACAGTAAACTCACACTCTATGTACAGTACTTGTAAAATGTCTAAATATGACAAAAAATTTGCAACCGAAAAGGATATAAAGATCACAACAAAAGTTTGCAAAGATAACTATCCCGTATATTCTAATCAACCCCTACTGAAATCAAATTTGTCACTCAAAATAGATTAAAAAAACGGTTGGAAATATTTGAGATAGCAGCATTCTTTCACAGTACTCTACATTAAAATTACTGATAGATCCAAGGCTTTAGATGGATTCGATAAATAGTACTATTAAATGATAAAGTTTGCTTCATTTAAAATGTAAAGTGTAACGTATTCTCTTAAAAGCAGTTTGGTTTCTTCTATTACTGTAAACTCTTTATATTAGCTTAATCTTTCAGAAATAAATCAACAAAATCTCATCCTTTTAAATAATCTAACGATGATTTTTTAACAGTATGCATTCTATTTATTTATAATTTGTCAAAAGACTAACGGGAAATAAGATAAATAACATGATTATCTCAAAAACCTAAAAGATGAGAAATGAAATATATTTCCCTGTGTACAGTAACACAGATCTGAGTTCTACCAAAACCCTAATTCTGCTTTGAGAAGCAACTTCAGCAACTTGCTGGAATATGAGACCACATTAATGTTTGCGTTGACAGCTTAATGGGCCTAGATAGGGATTTAACATGCAGCATAGTTATACTGGTAGCGGTATACGCGTTTCTTGATTTGCCATCGAAATTTATCAATCAAATTTACTTACTTCACCTTCTTTCACATTGCTCTCAAAAAATTCATTGCTATCATCCATTATGCTGCTTGACGCAGAGATAATGTCAACGTCGGTACTAAATCTTTTTATTATTATTACATCATGATAATAGCTTGAGCTTGATCTAGATCTAGTCTGTATGCTTTTTACACTTTTTATTTTCAATGACTTTCTACACTGTACGAAAAGTATGACAAAAACAAAAGCGGGAACAAAAGTTAGAGGGGCCTTTCCCGGGGGGCCTTATTTCTAATCTAACATATCTTGTGTGCTTTCGACCATAGGCCAAGGGAAAAGTAATAGTAAGCTGTATATATACCACGGCTTACTATTACTTTACCCTTGGCCTATGCTTTCGACTAATCTGTGAACCCGATATAATCAGCCGGATTAGCTTAGACTAAACTTGTTGAACTACCCGAAAACCCCAAGGATGGGAAAAATTGGGTCCTAATAAATTTTGCCGAGCAAATAAAGGCCTCAAGGCCCAAAAAGTGGGCCTTTTTGATCATTACTGTGCCTTTTAAGCCCTTATTTTTTAATTTCAGGCCATATTTTGAAGAAAATTGGCCTCAAAATTTCAAAATTTGGGCCCACTTTGGGGTTTTGGGCTTTTTTCTCTCACCTGAAATTTGCCCACCCCCCTTGTTGGCTCCCAGATCCGCCCGGCTGGGGGCAGTTCTACCATTGCGGTAACAAGTATAATACTTACATCCATGGTTCTCATGGTTCTAGTTCTTGCAGAATAAGCTTACAGTTACACCTACAAGTACATGTACATGTAGGCCTAGGTGTTCCTAGTTGTGCCTATTTAGCCTACTTTTACGGCCTCAAGTTACCGTCCTCGCATTACTTAAAGGCCCCCGGTAAAGGCCCCTAAAGTTTGAAAATATGTTTTTATCATACTTTTACTATTTTTCATGACTCTAAAAATTATTTTAACAGCGATTTTTGAAAAAAATGAAGGGAAAAAAGTTGTCTGATTTTTATTTTTCAAATGTTCACATTTCCCGCCATTTTTAAATAAAAGTTGAACTTTTTGAAATAATTAGCTTTTAACATGGGCTTTTAAACCAGTTGAAAGCCCATGCTTTTTAACACCACTGCGAAGATTAAACAAAGGATGTACTATTTGAATAATAAAATGTCATACCTAATGTGCAACTTAAATGTTTTAGCATATTAAAAAACGTTTGCAATCTCAATTTGATTGTCTTACTAGGTGGAAAAGAATAATAATTGTGCTTTAGATATATTGTACCACTGGTTTCTATGAGAACTAGAATCAAGTTTTGAAAAGGACTTTCATTCATAGATGAGTTCATTTCTCGCTTATTTATCAACCGATTTTCTTAATTTTTTCTACAAAAGACACGCTAGGATGAATGCTATGCATTGATATGAATTATCGCTTATTAAAACATGTGTGAGCTCTAAAATTTAGTTGAAATAAATTCATGATTTTTCGAACAAAAAGTCTTTCACTTTTTGAAATTTAAAAAACGAAAGTTTCATACTTTTGAAAACACGGATCAGACTACAATATAAGCCAAAGTGGTTTCAACTTTATATAGAAATAAGCAGGGACGTTTATTGGAATCTTGTTTTCTAGCTTTAAAAATTAACAGAAAAAACTATTGAATCACAAATTCATTTTGGATAGAGGCATTCTGTTTGCAACATATTGCTGTTTTGTGGATGAATTTTTTTCTATTGCAAATTAAAGCAAAAATGCTCATTTCTAATGCATTGACCGTAGTATTCATTTTTGATGGGACTCGAGCCTTTTGAAGCCCTTTGAAGCCGTCAAATCTGTGATGCACTCTGCCCTGTTTCAAAAATAATGCAACTCTAGCATGAAACTAAAGTTTAAAATAAAGGCAAATGAGTTAATTGTTTGAACATTTGAAACGGAGACATTTCAGGGTTTCGGTTAAGCACTGCCTTAGAAATCCAGTTCAACAGTCTGAGTCTAACAGAGGTGTGCCAAAAGGCAACAAGGCCATCAGAGGAACGTTTGGCTAACATCTTCTTTGTCAGACTCTATTTTCTTGAAATGTTCGGACATGCCTATTTCAGCATTTAGAAATGTGAATCAGTTTAAAGTTTCCATAAGAGGAAGCCCACTTATACAATGCGTATCAAAAAAAATCGACACCGTGGCACTTAGGCGACAGGGGAACTGTGTATTGGAAGCTTGGTGCAGAAGAGGTGGTTTAAAAATCACTAAGGAGCGCATTTTACATGCATTTGTATTGTAATTGTAAATAGACTTTGTGTACAATTCGATATATTGTAAGTATTTCCGGAGATGACCAATCAAGGTGCAGTTTTTTTTCATAAAGACATTAAAGGAATATTCCTTGCCAAACCATCTCTCTCCTCATATGGTAGCTATAACCATATGTATGCTTGCCATGTTTAGCAAAACATGCAAAAATGTTTTGATATGGTCAAATTTGATCACTTAGAAATGTGATGCTCAATTCCAGTAAGCTGCCATCTTTTAAAATTTCACACAGGAAGTGATGTCATCGACTCTCAACTTTGCATATAGAATTAGGTGAGGAGCTATTAAGAATTACAAAACCAGCTAAATATTCTTTTTCAACTTTGTATCTTATTTAATCCTTCTGAAAGTCTCTTCTTTTATTCTAAGTTGACAAGCCCTGAAAATATTTTTGCACAGAAAGTAATGATCACTTGTCTAGAAGTAATTTTGTGCTACTTTCCCATACTGTTATGGGCAAGGTTATAGAAGTTGAGAGTTGATGACATCACTTCCTGCAAGAAATCTTAAAAGATGGCAGCTCACTGGAAATAAGCACTAGATTTTTAAATGATCAATATTGACCATATTAAAACATTTTCCCATGTTTTGCTAAATATGGAAACTATATATATGATTATAGCTACCATATCAAGAGAGTAAGGGTCTGGCAAGGAATATTCCTTTAAGAAAACTTCATAAATTATTTTTTAACTCATATGTTTCGTTATTCCAAAATAAATTAACTTCTCCATGCAACATGTGCAATGGGTACTTATAACATTTGCGGATGACCTACACTTCTGTTTGAAGTCAAATAATGCTAGGCTTAAAAGTTATTGAAAACGGCGCTAGAGTAGGCCTAAAAACTGCTCCATCAAGCTGGACAAAAAAGTAAACATAAACATTTTCTATAAAAAGTAAAAAGACCCAATACATCTAGATCTCTGTGAAGTTTTCTTAGTGTTTTTATGAAAAATAGTATGCTCTATCAAGCTGGACAAAATTTTCGATGGCAACTTCATTTCCTATACCTCTAAATCTTTTCCTCAATTACAATAGGTCGAAAATTGACGACTTTGATGAATTTTTGAAAATCGTCATTCCAATGTATACCAATGGGAAATGGTGGGTTCGGGGCAAATCAGAATTCAGGATATCTATTCAAGAAAACATCTATCAAAAATTATTTTCATATAAAAAAATTAAATTTTCTAACTTTTTTCATGCTAAGTGTTAAGATAAATGTGTGAACATTAAAGTTACAGGGCTACAAAGTCAATTATGGAAATCATTTTTCACATCCTTTGTTATTTCTATGGGAGAGGTTTCTTGAAAATTATTTTGACTTCTTGGAGACCTATAACTTTTTTAAACCAGAAGAAACACTAAAGTGAACAAATTAAATTGTCTACTTAACTTGTATTTTAGGAGAGAACTCGGATCGATGTTTACACGGGATTGTCGATTTTTAAAAATTCATCAAAGTCATTAATTTTTGACTTATTGAGAATAGAGACTTATTGACTTATTGAGAAGGATGAGAGTCTTTAAGACTTATATTAGCCCCCAAAATATTTAGAATAAATTGTACAGCATATAAAAAGTGGGGAAGCACACGGGCAACATTGGAAAACACATTAAATGCATATCAAACTATTGAATGTTGATCTTGAGATCAATTGTCCACGAGCAGTTTGCAAAAATATGTCAGAAAAGAATATAAATGCATATCAATCAATTATATCTGCGTTATTAAGATCATTTGCGAATAAAGCTAAGATAACAAAAACGGCGTTTGATGGGGCTTTAATGCGACGTGCAAGGCGGCTTTACACGCTGCTTTAAAGCGCCATCAAGGCGCCGTTGGTGTGAACTTAGCTTTAACAGTTTGCATTAAAGCGGCAGTAAAATACTGAATTTATTATTTTACATCACAGTGAGAAAGAACAAGGGGCTACATAGAAAAACACATTAAGTAATTATCAAGTCAAAAATGCATATCAATCAATTATATACTGATTTGCTTTATTGAGATCAGTTGCTCATAAACAATTTGCATTAAAGCGGCAGTAAAACAATGAATTTATAATTTTACATCACAGTGAGAAAGAACAACGGGCAACATTGAAAAACACATTAAGTAATTAACAGGTCAAAAATGCATATTACTCAATTATATACTCATCTGCGTTATACTGAATACTTTATACTGAATTTATTATTTTATTATCTACCCATGTATAGCGAGATTTGGAGGACACAAACCTTGACTGGAAATTTTGTTACTATAAAGCATGGTGGTCTATCTGTCATTCTGCTTGTCTTGACATTTCCTAGACAATTTGACATTGGGCCCTCATACTTGGTCAACATACTTAATGGGTCAGTGGGCACTCTACAAAGGTCAGAGGTCATTCCAAGGTTAAAGGTCAATATCTAGATGTTTGGCTCTTTAATACCCTTGGTCTATGCTGTGATCCTGTGATCTGAGGTCAGGGTCATTCCAAAGTCAAATGTCAATATCTAGGTATTTGGTGTTTTAAGACCCCAGGGGGCTGCTGTGACCCTTGGGGACCCATGATTAGGTGACCTAAGGTCAATGTTATATTGGTCAAGGTCATCTCAAGGCCAAATGTCAATATCTTAGTATTTGGCAATTTTAAGGCACTTGAATGATACTGTGACACTTGGCGACTCATGATTAGGTTATGTGAGGTTGAAGTTTCAAGGCCTTTGGAGAAGCTCGCCTCAAATCAAAGATCAGTCAAGGTCAAACGATCATTATACAGGCATTTTATAGGGGCCACTGCAATGTGGGGCCTGGTATGACCCTTGGTGAGCCTGATACTATTCATTGACAAAACTGCCACCTGCCACATGGACAACTCTTGGGCTTTCCCACCAAAAAACTATTATTTTGGGAATTAAGTTCATCTTAATAATCTGAAAAATTCTTGGAACTGTACAAATTCACGTCCCTTGTAAAAAAAACATGTAACTTGAAACAAAAGATGCCAACAACCAAGTATAAACAACAATCTTCTAATGCAAACTTGGTTCGGGACAGATAATGTATACCCTCTCTCCCCTCAAAAAGATAACAAACAGATGCAGGTACAATTAAAGGCCTAGAAGTAAGGTTTATGAGGTTGAAAGATTTTCCTAAATACAATTCCATGTAATTTCACACCTGCTTAAAACAAACGCAACTAAAACTCCTAAAATTCAACAAAACACCAATGTATATGTTTTATATTAAATCTGTTATATTGTACCAGTGGTATGGCTGTGACCATGCAGGAGTGCTACAACACACATCATCATATGGCAGTAAAGCACAATGGTTATTTCAATTATTTGATTTCATTTATTTTAACTTACTGAGAATAAAATTGAAAATTTAGCAAATGCGTCATTCAAATGGACAGCAATCTTTTCTTCATTCTAGATGATACATCTATGTTGTACATAATTCATCATTAAAAAGAAACAATATAGAGATAAATGGATCCGTCAAAGGAAAATAATATATATAAGCTACAATTTTCTCATACTAGTCTCGCTACAAGCCCCTGTGAAACACTCCACTATACATCGCCCCAATGTGAAAAGGTGTTCGGGAGGGGGTCACAGGGCTTGTAGCTAGCCTATTCTCCTACATTCATTTGGGCATACATAAAACAATGACATAGAATATGAAACTTAACATAACATTAATTAAAATTGTTTCCTTATATTGTTGGACCAGCATATTGGACCCAAAGGAACTATAAACAACAATATATATTTCCACATGTTGCATCTGTTAAATGACTATATCTGAGCATACCATATGTACAAAATATCACATAATAATGTAAATTTCTCCAGTGAAATTGTGACATACATGTACAGTATTATAAAATTAGAAAATAACATATTTGAACAATAGTTTCAAAAAACAAATCAAATGCTCTAATAACAGTGTTATGGTGATAGCTAAAGTGTTAATCATAAAATATGCAGATTGACAAAAACTTCCAGTAAGTCATCTTGTGATACCTCATTATAGTATTTCTCAATGTAACACTTATGTGTTAACATTACAACATTACAAGACATGGGTGTATGTAGGGTGGGTTGTGGGGCTCACGTGAATCCCCTTCCTTTTGCCTAGAACCCCCATTTTGTTATAAAACAATACCCTTTTCTGAAAGATCAACGATTCCCAGGCCGAGAATGAATCCCACTCTCACAAAGATGACTTTTTTGCGCTACTATGAATCACACATTTATACTGGCTACTTGATGACACGCATCAGTATTCCATAATTTGATTGGTTAGTTGAAACTGTTCCCTTCGAGTGAACCCCTCTTTTGTTATAAAGCTAACCCCCCTTGATAAATCCTGGCAAGAAACTAGGATGAACAAGCAAGAACTAGCATTTACTTAGTAGGGGTGGTTGAAACTGGAATACTATCGTGTATCATGTATATTGATCATATATTACTGAATTTCAAATATAAGCAAAAAAGGATTCAAGAAAAGGTGATATGCAAATCCAAAATCAACCTTTTATCAATGAAATAATCAACGAGATTCGCTATAATAAAATACAATGCATGCATGTAAGTACATAATGATTATCTGGATATATACTGTACAATCTTATACAAAACTCATCTATTTTTAAGCTAAGCTACTTACAAATATATAGCAGGCAAAATATGTATGGCAATTTATCATAATAGTCAAAATATATCAGGCAATTCTTATCAAGCAAAATACAATGTTTATCTGGCAAAATATATGAAAGCCTAAATTTATTGGTTCATATACAATCGTAAATGTCTAGTGCAATACTGTTTGAATTTAATTTAGATTCTTAGATGTTGACTGAAGGCAAAAGGTTCTAGGTTTACATTGCTTAAACCCCAAGATATTAATTAAAAACTGGTAAGAAAATCAGTTGATTGTGAGGCAAGATATAGCAAAGACCAGGTGTCATTAATCAAATAACTGATTATTTGAGAGCTACAGCCATAATTTCCACATTCACATTCCAATGGGATATACATGAACTCTTATCATAATCGGTAATTAATTTTAAGTGTCAGCTATAAGTAGGATCATGTTTAATTCTCACTTTTTCTATACTTACTTAAGAAAAACTCATCAAACATCAATTTTCATGATTTCCCAATGTTCAAATGGCTGAAAGGCATGAAATAGCATTTCCAATGTAACTATAATGCTCAAATTCTCAATTTGGTGCGGCACTCAAAGCTCCGTGAACATGTTTTTCATTTAGGTCTAAACAGATATTACTGGCTTATGATCCAATAACTATTGAGGAATAATTTTCTTAGGATTTATTACTAACACTACTTTCGTGTTATGTATGTTGAATTTTAGAAATCAGCACATGCTCATGTCTGTCTTTTCATTGTGCTAAATTGAGCATAATGGCACTACTGCAGATATGGTATATGATAGCTCATGGAGGCTATTTCTAGTAATACTAAGAGTTTATTGTACATATTTTAATTGGACTGTGTACATTTATAATACATTAAAGTCCCCATATAAAGTTTGAACCACTTTGGCTTATATTGTAGTCTTACCCAATGTTATCAAAGTCTTATATGTGATTTCAAAAAGTGGTTTTTGAAGGACTTTTTGTTCGAAAAATCGTGAATCCTTATAAAACTAACTTTTTTTTAGTTCTCATTGAAACCAATGGCACAATAATATCTAAGACATAATATATTCTTCCTTATAACCTGGTTAGACAATCAATATTGATTTAATTTTGAAGTTTAGCATATTTAGAAAAGATTGATTATTTTTTTCAAATCTTTTTTTGCCCCCTGAGTGAGTCATCGATGACATCACTCAGGTTGCAAAATATTTTTGATATGCTAAAACATTGAAGTGGCACATTAGATATGGCATTTTATTATTGAAATAGTGTGTCCTTTGTTCAATGTTTGCATAGGTGTTAAAAATATAATCTTTTTTGAAATGTATGGTGGAATATTTGATGATTAAAAAATTTCAACTTTTTTTTGAAAAATGGCGGGAAATTTGAATATTTGAGAAATGAAAAGCTGACAACTTTCTTTTTCAAAAAATCTCTAAAATGACAAATAGTAAATGAATGATAATAAAAACATATTTTCAAACATTACACGGGGACTTTAAACAACAGAAGGGACATAGAGATTTGATTAGGGACTGTTGATATCACATTTCAATATTCCCATATGGTTTATTTCCCTGCATTGACAATTTCTGCTGCAAAAAAGTTTGCCTTGTCCTTAAATGCTGCTTGCTTCTCAGCCTTCATTTGTTGCTCTATGCGTTTTTCCTCTTGCTCTGCTTTAATTTCAGCCTCAAATTTAGAATCAATGGTCAGTTTGTTAATCTGAAATAAAATCACTGTCACTGTCACATAAGATAAGATGGTACTTTATTGTTCCGTATCTCCTTCTGGAGTATTGGTCATTTACAATAAAGAAACATGCATACATAAAATAAAGGTATAATATATATGGTTGTTTACAATGAGGAAACATGCATACAAAGACACAAAAGGTATAGTAAAATTTATGAGCAGTATATAAATGAGATAATCATATTGCTTGCTTACTTGGCATCACCTTTCTTTTGGAACCATTTCGGTAAATCATTTTTATTTCTCAGTATTTTATGAGTGTCAACAGTAAGGTTCATTTTGTTTAGGAATTCACCCCATGGATTCATTAGTTCATTATCGTGGCTCATAAGTAAATAACTAAATAGCTGTTTGTTATTAAATTGTATAAACTGTTCTTTAACCTGTCTTATAACATACCTATGATGATGTATAGTGCAAAGTGTACACAAGACAGCGGGCCAATATAAGTTTTGAAAAGCCCGCGCCCGCTAACTTTCTGATTGGTCAAGGCGCTGACGTCATAACCAATCAATCGAAGATAAAACTGCGCGAGCAATTTTTCTAAACTCATTTCAATCATTTTCAAACAATTTGTTTGTCAATTCTATAAGAAAACGGTACTCTCTGACCAGTCTACATCATCATAGGTATGTTATAAATCGTTTATGTCACTATCGTGGCACATATGCCCTCGGTTCTCAGAGATCAATGTCCCTCCCAAGGTCGGGCCATATATCACTGACACCTCGGGCATATATGCTACGATAGTGACATAACCTCTAATTATACCAAAAATAAAGTCTTTACGTATATTTATAAGTTTTTCATAGTTGCATTCGAAAAGTACATGGTACTCATCACCAATTTGTGTCACACATGTTGTTAAATAAGAAATGACATCTAAATGCAGCTTAAATAGTATGATATTTATATCCATAAAACTCTTGGTATATTTTCGCCTAAAAAAGCTTAAAATTATTCCAGACTATTAACTTGGGCTTATTCAATGAAAGTGCAGATTAGTTGGACCATGTTACAAAGTGTTTTTTATAATCTCCTGAGACATTGATAATTTTGCTAAAATAAAATATGAAAAAAAACCATGAAATAGTTGTCACCTTTGATTCAAAGAAACTCTTCGCTCCTCCCACACCCTCTGCGTGGACATCAATCTCTTCCATGTTGCTATAGAGATCCAACAAGCCACTCCCCTCTTCTAGCTCTCCTGCAGCTGCCTTGCGGAATATCAGCAAGAACTGAAACCAAAACATTAAACTTATTACATGTCTACTAACATGTATGCATACTAAGCAGAGCCAGGCATTTTCTATTGACTGAAAAGGTAAGAGATGTACATTAAGCTAATGCAGAACATTCATCGGGTTTTGTTAATGAAGTTGGAGTAAAAACAGGCTCTCGAAGATCACTCTTTAAAAGGAAGAGGTCATGGTATGATAAATGCCAAACACAACTTATCTTTCTAAACTGATTAATAATCAATTAGATTCAAATTTTTCATCATGAACTTTTGTTCTGAATGGATACATAGTACCCCGGACAGCCACTTAATAATCAATTTATATCTCTGACTATCCTTTTTTAAATTTAGCAAAGGAACGATTTAAATACAGTATATACTACATTTATGGTAGAACGATAGAACAATATTCAAATTGTTAAACAAATGCTTCAAGAGAGAAGATCTGCATAAGGCTGACTGGAAATATGTTTTATTTGATTTGTGATTCAGATCCTTTAAGGATTATTCATAAAGTCTGGAGATCTCTGATGACTCAAAGGATGAGTACAGTAAAACATGTATAGAGGTTATTTAATGGGAGGTTTTTGATACAGGATATATCTGAGGGGAATACAATATATATACAATATATCAACCTGAGGTACCAAGGGTTGATATATCGTATTTACCGAGGGATATACCCTGTTTCAAAAATCGAGCATTTAATAACTGATTTATTCTATACTTAGTAGATTTGGACATTACAAATCACAATACCCTCCCAACCTTACTTGCTTAGTGACATACCTCTTTGAAACTGATTTTATTATCGTTGTCCTCATCTACTTCCTTTATCATAGCCTTTAGCGCCAAGTGTGTTTGTGGTACCCCAAGTTTCTCCATCATTACCTTCAGCTCATCAAAGTCAATGAATTTATCTTTCTTTGTGTCATACCTGAAATGCATATAATGTTCTTACATAAGCAATTTGTTTGATATTAGTTTCAAATAAATTCAATGTATGTTTGCTTTTTATTTGAGTATTACATGTTTGTTTTTGGTTTGTTTACTTCATTAAAATTTGTATATATGGGAGGTGAATAGCGAAAAAGTGATTTTCAGCAACAAAAATGGCAGCCATTTTTAATATAGATAAAGGATAGAAAGAAGTGCAAGAGAGAACTCTTACAAACAGCTCTAATACAACTGCTGATAAATGTAAGGCTGTTCTTAATCACAGCTTCATATATCACAGAGTTTCATGTGAAACTCAGTACAACTTTACTTCATATCACTATGGTTATTTCAATAGCAGGGCAACACTGTTCTTCAACATAGAAATAAAAAGAGATAGATTCAAGATGATACATGTACTTTCTCCAATTCTCAAATAACAAGACCCAAAATGACAGCTCATGATACTTTTTCTAGCAGTTGCTTTTTTAATCTTAATAACATTTAATCATCGAGGAAAATTATTTGAAAAAGCCCATGGTAAAACATGAACAAAAGATAACCCATCTTTTTCTTTTATTGCTCGCGATGTCAGTGGGAACCATGGGGCTCAGATAGTACCCGTGAATATGTACTGCTGTGCACAGTAATGACAGTGTACTGTGCAAGCAATTGCACTCTACTGCACTCTACTGTACTCTATTGCACTACTCATTCACTGCTGTTTTAGCCTATATCATGCTTCAGGGTAAACCTTAATTAAATTGCTTATTTATTTGCACCAAACACAGGTAAAGCACCTTATATGGGGTGAAGGATAGACTAGCACATGGTCAAAGTGACACATAATCAGTTGTAAACATTTGTTTAGATATCTTGCTATCTTATTAACCATGTAAACAAGCATGTGGGTTGGTTGATCACTTACAGGTAACCAGTATAAACACAAGCCACATTATCCATATCTAGACGTATCACCTATTAGCTACGTATCTGATATCAGGAGTTGGTGTTTCCTGTATACAATGATTAATCACATACACAGGTGAACTTATGAGGAAGTTTCAATTCCCTGAGGCAATAAGTCATAAAATACTTCCCCTAATAACTGTCAGTAAACTAACTGACAATAGCTGTGTAACAAGCATAAATGAAGTATCATCACCTTGGCTATTTTTGGTATCACAGTGCCTATAGAATGCAATAACTACAAACCCCATACTCCAAAAGCATAACTCCTAAACCTAATCCTCGGAAATCTTAAACACTGAAACCCAAAAATCCAAAACGCAATTTTCCTAAACCCATGACTCTGATACCTGATCCTAGGAAATCTTAAACTCAAAATCAAAAAATCAAAAACCTACAACTTCTAAACCCATAACTTTAAAACCTAATCTTAAACTTCGAACTCAATACTCTAAAAACAGGACTCAGTACTCCAAAAATATTCATACACTTACAGACAGATAAATTTTACATTGAGAATGAGCTGACTTATTTTAGCTTTTGACTTTGGAGCAACATTGTCAGGAACAGGCAATGTTAACGTGTGACTCCAAATGAAGTTAAAACACCACTGAATCATACCAGTTGATTTAGTCATCTATTTTTATTACTCAAATTAAATGAAAACAATTAAAAGATAAGCAAGAGATTTTTCACTCAAAATTTGCAGCCGATACTGGAGATGCAGGCAGTGATGTAACAAACATGTAAAATAAGGCTTCTGTTGGCTGAATAGTAGCTTATCCAATTTTAAATTATGATCATTTTAAAAGAGTGGTTTGAGACAGTCCATGAGTACCTTCTCAATTTAAATATGACTTTCTCATTAACACAATATGTTTTCTTTCAATTAAATTCTCAAGAATAACTAGAAAACAGCAACACCAAAGCGTAGCGAATCCCATCGAACAGCCATGGCTGGCATTTTTACAAAGTATATAGCAAAAATGGCAGCCATTTTTCAAAATGGTCACTTTCTACCAAAAGTGTAATTAGACAGTGTGCCATGCTTATAGTATTCACATACAAAATATGAACAAAATCGCTGCACTACTTTTCGAGTTACAGTAAAATATGTTTAAATTGTGGCCATTTTTCAAAAGGGCCGCCTTCTACCAAAAGTGCGATTAGACAGTGTGCCATGCTTATAGTATTCACATAACAAATATGAACAAAATCGCTCTACTACTTTTTGAGTTATAGTAAAATATGTTAAAATGGCGGCCATTTATTAAAATAGCCGCCATTTTTAAATGAGTGGCTATTTTGAAAATCAGCTTTCGAGCAGAACTTCTACCCCCATAAAGTATATGTGTTCAAAGTATGAACAAAATCGGGCCAACAGTATTTGAGTAATTGCCCAGATGGACGGATGGACGGACGGATGCGTTCCCCATATCCCTCCGAACTTTTACCATGTGCATAGCAGCCAGGGACGCTAACCACTACACTAACAGTAAATGAAATGAATAATAGTGAAAGCAGTGGATTTATTTTTGAAAATTTCAGTCCTCTATCTTGTTGATTGTCGATACCCAAGCGAATACTCACTGGGCAGTCTCTAGTCGGTGCGGGAGACAATCCGTATTTTTTAGGTTTTACTGACGCAATAAAACAGTGAAATGGACTCTACTTGTGTATTGAAATTTTGCGGTTGAAAAACATTGTCAGTTGTTGACACAACAATGAATTTTATCTACTTGTAAATAACAACCAACCCAGCTTATTTTCAACTGCAAGATTTCAATACACAAATAGTTGTGGGTGATATGAAAAATTAACTCCACATTTTAATTTTTACCTATAGATCTAGTCTAGACTATAGGTGGCACTCTGTTAGATTCACTGAAAGCTAAGTACTCACTTGTTGAATGTTTTTTGAAAGTCGATAATCTGTTTTCTTGTGAATTCCTTGAACTCAGTGTAGGGGTTAAATACTTGCGTTGAAGGTAACACTTTTTCAACGTCACCTCCATCCTCCAAAGTATCAATAATTTGATTTCGTCGCTGCAATTTGTTGGAAAGTTCTGAAGATGTTTCGGAATTTTCAGTTGTCGCTTTTGATCCAATATTCAAGTCAACTTCATCCTCTGTCTTCTCCTCATTCAATTGACAGCGCCTCTGTAGTTTTTTGGCAAGCTCATCTGAGGCCATTTCTAATTATAAAGCTCAGATTAACTGGCTAAATCTGGCTGCAAATTTGGTAGATGTAGAAGAGGAAGTGATTAATATGGAACATGAATTCCCCAGAAATTTATCACATGACCAGTAGTCTAATGACGTCATTTTTAATGGTAATAGGCAAGAGGGGAATTCCCCAGAGTTCAGAGATGACCTATCTTCAATGCAGAAGAATTAAAATTTCCTTGTAAAAATAAATCTTTAATTAGTGATAGTTTATATGAATTTTTTTGCTATGTGTGAAAAGATGAGTCAATTAAAAATTGTTTTCATTGTTCTTTTTGTGATTGAGACTGGTAAAGTGGAGTAAAATTAAAAACACTTATAAACTTATTTTAATGTTACCTTTACATCCATCTAGTGCCAGCACGGATAACCGTGAGTGCCAGGACCTGGCCCTTGATCCATATGTGTCAATGGGCGCCAGGACGCGTATTGATGCCAGTTCACTAATTGTCTCTCTTGGGTTTTGCTTTATTTCTTCTAAAACTTCATAATCCATTATAAACTGACTAATTACATATTAAGCAAATAAATATCACATTTTCTCTTCCTTATCATTTTACTTACATGTTTTAGATTTCAATATCATAAAGTTTTGAAAGTTTTCATCGAAATTCATATTGGGATATTTTTGAAGTAATTTCACTTTTCAACCCACTGAATACTTCGCCATCTTTTGATAGTCCTTGTAAAGAAAAATGTGTTGAAATAATATCAAATGAATACTACAAATGGGTCTACTGTACAAATTGTTCTCAAATTGATAAAAATCGAATACAAGGCATTGACATGACAAAATGTCACCTCCTGCAAATGGTTACAAAAATGTAACAAATGTTACAGATGTTGTTCTTGACTGCCAACAAAAACAGCTTTATTAATAATAAATAGAAATCAAGATTGCGAACAATCTTAATCTTATTGATGCACTCTTAGGCATTTTTGACCTTTTGTAGGTCAATGAATGATCAAATCAAATATCAAAGGTCAGATTACAAAATAAGTTAATGTACTTTGTTGGTTACTAGATTGGTTTCTAGTCTACATAAGTTACATGTTATCATTGCAATTACCAAATAAGCTACAATGCTGACCTTTGACCTTGAAAATTTTACTTTTTTATAACTTTGAGGTCTAAGTTAGTTGGTTTTTTTTTCTAATGGGGTGACTTAAGAATAAAAAAATAAATTTGAAAAATCAACTTTTTTACCTTTCGAAGGTCACTGAAGGTCAAATCCCAAAGCTTAGTTCAGATATGAACTCATGGCAACTTGTAGATGACATCTAAAAATTTTGGAACCAAAAATGTCATTGAAGATGAAATCTAAAATCAGATTTGAACTTCTGAGTTCTGATACTAATATCTATCTTTAAGTAAAAATTCAGGCAAGAAAAAGTTCAAGACCATGTGAGTACTACTTCTTAAAAATCATTGAAAAAGGTACAAAAAGTTACAAGTCCATTAACAATAGCCCTCAATCTATAAAACATCCATGATCTCCATTATTTATGCCATCCTTAGACTTTAGCACTATTCATCAGTCATCTTATCCTCAATTTGTTTTAATTTACTGATGTTTAAGCATTTTATCTGCATGAGCTAGTCCCATTTTAGCACCAAAACCCTGACTTTAAGACTGTCTTCCAGAAATCTTAGGATATGCCAAGTGAATGTTCCAAATACATATTCAAAAATCACAATACTGATAATATGCAGTTTTAAATCTTCAGAAGACTACCAAGGTTACATACAAAAAAGATATGCTTGGGAGATTTGAGTAAATTAATGATTGGATACTGAAAACTGTATGTATTGTGAATTATCACTGGGTCTCTTAAGACCAGTTTTGTACTGATAGAGCTACCCAGAATAAATATAGTTTTCAATCAAATATAATGATATACAATACACATAATTCATTATACACGTCATCTGGTCATGTGAGTGTCCAGTTTTTATTTACCCACCCTGTATTTGTGTAGCAGATATTGGCAAAAATGTGTTAGAACTCATAACATGTTTGTATATGTTCACAGTAAAAATTTGAAGTCAGTTCTTGTTAAGTTATTGGAAATTATTAGAATTTGCAAATGGTTATAGTGCAGTCAGAATGTGGGTTTCGGCGTGCGTTCAGAGGGATTTTATGGGACATCATTTTTCATGTTACTACTATGATTATACATATTTGTATGGATTATAAGATCTTAGTTTTTCAGCTTTTAGATTTTGTGGCCATTTTACCCCCCATGGGCTAAAATTTGGACCCCTACTATAAAATTGGGCAAGAACTCAAAAAATACTCAGTGGAATGTTTCTAAATTATTAAGTTATATTGGTATAGGCTAACTGAATATATGAAAAAAATTTCATGTCACATGGTTAAGTGGTTGCCATGGAAATGGATAAAACATGCCCTTCAGGTGTCAATTTTCAGGCCAATTTTTCAGGACTGACAGAGTCATTTCATGCATTTTTTGTCACCAATGTGTTAGGAAGGGTTAAAATGTAAATAGAAAACTTCTATAGTATATTAGCAACACTTGTATGTAAAGATCAGTCCACAAAACCTCAGATTTTGGCCTTGTATTGGTCCATGACTTATACAGGGGTCTATTTCATAGACTCGAGCTCCCACATTGGATGGATGCTATAACTTTTGAAATAATGGAGATTCAGATCTCATTTTTTTATATCATCATAAATGGTTAGTTTTAAGTATTTTTTTTTACTTTGGGAGCTGACATGTGATTGGTTGCCATGGTAACCAGGGTTCTAGGGAAATTCTGACCCCCATATTGGATGGATGCTATAACTTTTGAAATAAGGGAGATACATGTCTCATTATTTCAGATCTTAGACAATGATTGATTATAAATATTGAATTAGACTTTGGGAGCTGAAATTTGATTGGTTACCATGGTAACTAGAGTTTTATTGAAATTTGGACCTCCTCAATTGATAAATGCTTTAACGTTTGAATTTAAGCAGATACAGATATCATCATTTCAGATCTTAAAAATTAATGAGATTTGTGCATTGAATTAAACTTTGTAGCTTAGCATTTACTTGATTGCCATGGTAACCATGTTTCGTCGTCATGGTACCCTTTATTTTTATTTCAGCCTTACCTTCATTTGAGAATGGTCAACATGTTTACCAAAATTATCATTTTGCTCTTAATTTCAGCAATTTATCCTGTATATCTGACAGTATAGCCTCATTCCATTCTACTAGTTCTCACACATATTCTGACTCCCAAATTGTTTTTACTCATCATTATCGTTTTCATCTTCCACAATTGCCTCTTAATTAAATATCAACAATTTCTATTGGAAAGAAGGATTCTTTAGACCATTCTTGTGTTAAGGATTTGTCAGGGAATTCACAGTTCATTCATGCAGTATTGGGCATAATGATAGATCTGGGTTTAGGCTGGTGGGAATGTGTCCATACATAGGTTTGATAATTTACTTATCTTCAAATGTGAAAGAAAATGTCGACATCTTCATAAGTGAGGGCAGCACTGTTCTGTTTTGTTCTGTATCTCATGGGAAACAGCTCATCTCGTAATCTATCAGTGGCAGTTATTTTTCTATTTCTGCTGTATTTTTGCAGGTGAACAATTCAACTTTCGATTTTATGGTAGCGGGAATTCCTATATTGTTTCCTATTGAAGAAAACAACTTTAAGAATTGTTTGCTTTCCGTTTCAGTTGATTTACTTTTCCTTTGTTCAGAAAGGCACTGGAGGAATCTGATCCAGTAAACGCATTGAAGGCTAATACAGCTTCACACAGGACTTGGTCCTAGGTTTGCAGCTACAGGGGTTGGGTTGAGCTTCTGACATCTAATGGGACAGAGTTCACATCAGTTGAGGTTCTTAAGGTTGTTTTCTTCATAATAGGAATCAATATAGAAATTCCTGACACAATATAATCCAAAGTTGAATTGTTCACCAGTAAAAGTACAGCAGAATTACAAAAATATATTTGTAACTTACATCAATAGATAACGATATGAGCTGTTTCATATAAGATATTCTCCAAAACAGAACAGTGCTACACTCACTTATGGAGGTGTTGACATTTCAACTCTTCCCATCTTTCAAGATTGGTCCTTTACTGCTTTCATAGCATCTAATATAATGCAATGAATTAAATGATGAACTTTTCCACCTTGTAATGATTGCTCATTATAAAATTTGAAGAGGACGGATGATAAAACTTATATTTGGAAGTGGAAACATTACCCCCCGTCTCCCAGGAGTTCACTGTATATAAACCTTGAGGGGATCCTCAGCTCAGGTGGTGTACTTTTAACATTTGATATGGCAATGGACCCAAATTTTAGGATCTGGTATGAGAATGCTCTCCAAATTATGACTTGAGAGGTATGGCAATGGTCAGATTTGGGAATGGTCGTGAAAAATATGTTGCCCCTCACTTGTTGTACATGTATGGCATTGATCTAGTATATCCTTAATGTGAGGTTGTTTTTGGTTGTTTTCCTCAATAATCTGCCTTCTTCTCGAGGCATTAGAAATTTTGAATGGCCATGTTTTCATATCTGGATATTTGGTATGGCACTGGTCCTATATTTGGGCATTTGGTATGGCTTTTGGGCATTATTTTGGTTGATATCGGAACACATTCAAATTTGACAGATTGGATGGGAACATATTGATATTTGAGGGTTCAGCCTAGGACCCCAGCCAAATCTTATATACAGTGAACCCACAGGGACCAGTCTTAACCCATTCTGCCAAGTCCAATACTGCATGAATGGACTATATCCCCTGAGGATCCTTATCTCCAGAATGGTCAAAACAATCCTTCATTCCAACAGAAATTGATGTTAAGAGGAAATTGTGCTAAATGAAAACAGTAATGATGAGTACAAATGAACAAATTAGGAGTCAGAACTTTTTAAGAACTAGTAGTATGGAATAAGGCAATATTGTCAGACATACATGTATTGTTTACTAGTATTTGATATTTTATGAGCCAAACAATGTTTGCATCTCTAGTATTATTGAGTCATGAGCATGCAAATCATTTAAAATAGAAAAAATCCCAAAATTAAGAATAAAATGGTAACTTTGAGCAATTAGGTATTTTATGTCATGTATTGACCTATCTAGAATAAAGGTGAATCTGAAAACGAAAACAGCAGTTACCATGACAATGAAACATGGTAACCATGGCAAACAAATAAATCATAGCTTCCAAAGTCTAATACAATACACACATATTATTATTATCTTATATCTGAAAAGATCTATATATCTTATCTGGCTGTATTTAAGAGTTATAGTGTTCATCAATTGTGGAGGTCTGAATTTCAACAAAACCCTGATTTCCATGGTAACCAATCAAATTTCAGCTCCCAAAGTCTAAATCAATACTTTAAATCAATCATTGTCAAAAATCTGAAAAAATGAGACATGAATCTCCCTTATTTCAAAAGTTATAACATCCATCCAATGTGGGGGTCAGGATTTCCTTAAAACCCTGGTTACCATGGCAACCAATCATATACCAGCTCCAAACGTATATTAAAATACTTAAAACCAACCATTCATGAAGATCTGAAAAAATGAGACCTGTATCTCCCTTATTTCAAAAGTTATAGCATCCATCCAATGTGGGGGTCAGAATTTCCCTAAAACCCTGGTTACCATGGCAACCAATCACATGTCAGCTCCCAAAGTAAAATAAAATACTTAAAACTAACCATTTATGAAGATCTGAAAAAATGAGACCTGTATCTCCATTATTTCAAAAGTTATAGCATCCATCCAATGTGGGAACTCGAGTCTATGAAATAGACCCCTGTATAAGTCATGGACCAATACAAGGCCAAAATCTGAGGTTTTGTGGACTGATCTTTACATACAAGTGTTGCTAATATACTATACAAGTTTTCTATTTACATTTTAACCCTTCCTAACACATTGGTGACAAAATATGCATGAAATGACTCTGTCAGTCCTGAAAAATTGGCCTGAAAATTGACACCTGAAGGGCATGTTTTATCCATTTCCATGGCAACCACTGAACCATGTGACATGAATTTTTTTTCATATATTCAGTTAGCCTATACCAATATAACTTCATAATTTGGAAACATTCCACTGAGTATTTTTTGAGTTCTTGCCCAATTTTATAGTAGGGGTCCAAATTTTAGCCCATGGGGGGTAAAATGGCCACAAAATCTAAAAGCTGAAAAACTAAGATCTAATAATTCATACAAATATGTATAATCATAGTAGTAACATGAAAAATTATGTCCCATAAAATCCCTCTGAACGCACGCCGAAACCCACATTCTGACTGCACTATTACAAAATGTTACAAACCACTTATTTGTTGCTATGGTAACAGATGTTGGCAGAAATGTGTTGGAACTCAACTCATAACATGTTTATAGATTTTCAAAGTAAAAAATTGTAGTCAGTATAAACAATACTTGTTTAAGTTACTGGAAATTGTAAGAATTTCACCCAATGCTGAACACTGTTGGAGACTATACTAGAAGTGGTGACATAAAATCATAATTTATATTTTCATTCATTTATTTATTTCCAAAAATCAATGTTGGATATATATTTACAATAAGACATGTGGTATATCACTGTACATGTACAGTTTGCATGACCATGTTTGCACCAGTGTACAAAGATGACATTATCATACTCATACCTTTATATTCACTAGATTCAATTCATATATCAACAACAAAAAAGAGACGCACATGGCACTTCAATATACTTTATACATATATAAAAACAATATTTTATGTATGGTTCAACTAGACTAGATGAATGTATTATTCAACTTTGACAAATAAGATATCACTCCCATTTAAATCTGGAAACTATAATATAGAGCACAAGCTCCACACTAAGTATAACGAAATAAGCTAGAGCATGTAATAATGTTGAGTCCTAGTTACTCGCTAATTACTTGCTTATTTTTGATGTAGTTTATTATTTCAAGTGGTTAACAATTGGAATTCTAACTGGAGTTTTACAGTTTTACAACAGTAGTGATAACAGTAATATAGGAAACAAAGGCTTAAAAAGCAAGCATAAACATCACTGTACAACCCAAAACCCCTTACAACCCCTGGCTAATTCATAAAGCCCTTATACAAAAAATATATTTTGATGATAAACTGTTTTGATGGAATGTAACTATATCAGAATCCAATGTTGTAATTAAACAAACTCTTGAACATACATATATGTGTATCCAGATCAGAATCTCAGTTGGTATTTTTCTGTTGAATTTGCAAAAAGAATACACTGTTTATTCCATTATTTACTCCATTATTTCAATTCGATCGTTCTGAAGTCCGAGACTGGTTTCAAGTTTATGTAGTCTACTGCTTGTGGTTTTAAGGTGATTGTCTTTGTCTGTTAGAGCATCTTTCAATACTCCTATTTCATAACTTTTCCGTTTCATTTTATCATTCATTACTTTCTTCTTAGCTGCTTTCTGGAAGAAAAGGTAAGGTGCTTAAGAATACATTATAAAATATTCTCTTTAAACAGTGGATACCACTACAAAAATTAATTAACGACTCAATATTTTGGCTGAAAATGAAAAATCCAACAATATACATCTATCCACCCAAGAAGAAACTCATTCACAAGTATTTGAGTTATTTTCTGGCTGGATGAATGGACAGACTGACAGACAGATAGATGGAGGGCTTTACTTTACTTCTGACAAAGGGCAGTTCACTGGGATAATAATTGTTGTATTTGTTATGTTTTTATCAACTCTAAATTCTTAGCATTAACCTAGACTCAACATTCATGTTGCATGTAATCAATTTTATAGAAGCTGAGACAACACAAGTCCCAAATCTGAATATTTACTCTCATTTCTTCACTTTTAAGAGAGTTTAAACACCACATTTTGCATACATATTCCCTGGCCAAATCCTGACATAGAATTTTATTGGTTTTATAATAGTTACTTTTACAAGTGCTGAATGAGAAAACATTGCTCAATATGGAATTATTACACCAAAAGTAGTGACCTGGATTTTTATTAATTACATCAAAATGTTGAATTTGTCACAAAAAATGACAAATTTTGATTATAGATCAATCAGAATTAAATATTTCCCCATCTTTAACCAATAGATTATATTTAAACCAATAAAGTTCTATGTTAGGATTCTACATTTTAGGACTATGTAATTGCAGTAATGTAAAATTGCTTTTTCTTATATTTCTTATATTTGGCACAACTTCCCTACCTTTCCGAAAATATCCTCTGGAGGGCAGTGGTGTTTGGCATAACTTTGCTGGTGAACCTTTTCTTGCTCTAAATGGAAGGTTTTACGCTGTTTGATTGCACTGTTTAGACGTTTTTCTTGCTCTAGACGGTCCCTGGTGCGGTTCAAGGACTCCCTCAGATATTGAGCTTCTTCTGTTCTGCCACGGACATCATTCTAGAATATACAGTAGAGCAAGTTCAAGTGTAAGTTATTATAATATCTAGCATTGCTGTACATAAAATCTTTGAACAATCCATGAAAGATTCCTAATGACCTGAGACGACATGGATGTGAAAAATGTATTTCTGACTTCATATGCCACTGCCAGACTCTACCTCTAAACCTCTATATGCCTATTGCCGAAAAAACAATGAACATATTTCTACCTCTAGTCCTTCCACCTGGCCATGTTTCTTGGATGCAAGCTCCTCAAGTTGTCTCAATTTTGCCAGATCTCGCTCATAGTTATGTAACAACTCATCCTTTCTCTGGATCCTCTCTTGAAGCACCTTGATTCTACTAGCGACCAGCTCAGTGGCTCTTTCACGTTCATTGTTGAGTCTCTCACGTTCATCCCTGTGAAGATGTGCCATTGTCCTAAGACCAGATATTTCCTCCATTTCAAGACAACTTGCCACTGCACGGAGTAAGGTCAAGTACTGGAAGGAAAAATGTGCTGACTATTTGAAACAGTGTAATGTTGGAGAAAAATGAGAGTATTTAACCCTCTGCACAAAGTTCATTCCTATAACACGTATGTTTTGTATAAACAATAAGCCTTATCACACTAATAAGGACATATAAGAACCCAAGAAAAAGTTCAAAGATTTGATAACAATTTCTTCAAAAGTTTTTGGTGCATCTTCAAGTGATAAAATCATAAAAGAGAAGGATGCTTACTGAACTCTCACTGGCCTCTAAACTATCAAGTGTCTCTCTGTGTGCACTTCTCTCAACTTCGGCATCAGCTGAACCTGTAGTGGTTAGTCCCCTGACCCTATTCACCTCCCTGTCCAGTGTTGAGCTTGCCTCACTCCCCAGTATGGCCTTCTGTTGCTCTGCAAGAGCCTGGGCTGTCCTCATCTCTGCCAACTCTTTCTTCAACAGTATCACCTGTTGCAAGGCCTGGTCATGGTTGGGAACTGTCAACACAATAAAAGGATTTGATTTTCACTGATTGGGAATTTGATGGCTCAAATCCACACATCGTGTCATGTGAAACATGAATTATTCAACCTTTGTTATATTTGTAGCAGAGTTATTCAAATGAATGTATGATAAGAAGGACTTGATCTATTATGCTCCTAAGACATCAGCATATCAGCAAATCTGTCAACTGGTATTTCATTTATTAGAGATTACATTTTTCATGATATATGGCAGTCATTTTAAATTGAAAATCCATCAGCCAGTATTTGAATTATTACCTGGACAGATGAATTAACGAATGGATGAACTGCTTCTCTATATCCCTCCCCAACTGTGTTCAGTGGGATAATAAGGTGTTTGTGATTAAATGCAGTTAACATTCCATGTAAATAAACCAAATATATACTTATCAAAGAAGCATTTCAGATGTAGAGTTTCAAAACACATACAAGTGAATATAGAGTTTGACAAAACAGAATTGATGAAAGTACAACAACATACTGTATTGTATAAGTCTCATATCAATTGAACCTACAGTCTTTCAGTTGGAATATAAGCGCTCTTCTAATTCCAAAGATTTACACTTTGATTGTAACTTATCTATCTACAAGTGCACTTATGCTATTTAGGACTCCTTTTTTCTATGTTAGATTCCGACCCCAAGTTCTTATTAACTAAGAAGTGTACTGTATGTTGTAACTATAAATTCATTAATGGAATTTAAGCTCCTGGGTCATGCCATAAGTGTAATATGGTGTAACTTAAATAAAATGTGCAAATAGCTGTAAGAATATGTAGATATAGTTTTAAGAACATAACTATGTAGAAATATAAGTATAGACTAAGCATAGATAGCTTGATACTGCTGTTTTCTCGAAAACTAGGTCAGTGGAAAGAGGCTTCAGTAGCCCACACACATACAGTAAAATGATATTGAATAAACACCATTGAAATGTGTTCATTCCACTCAAGTTTTACTGTACTGTGTTTCAGTAATGTGTGGCAAGAGACTTAACAGTGAAGTGTGTATGACCATATGGAAAATACAATAAAAATGTACCCGTTTGGAAATATGTTGTTAGTTGCAGATCTATAAAAAAGAAAGCGAAAGATAAGTAACACGCAGAGAATATTAGAGCAAATTGTTACATACCACCATTGCCTGTTACATCAATCAAACAAACAAACAACAATTGAATTAATGGTCTTAATAGGTGCTGTTCCTTAGTTCTAACAAGTTACATGTGTTTTATGGAAGTTAATTATGCATTATTGATAGTTAATGAGATTTATCTCTGACATTATCCATTCATTTCATGATCAGATGTCATGATATATTTACTTAAGCAACAGTCCTGATTTTTACAAACAGCATATTTATTTGCTGATTTGCAATTTCAGTCAATTAATGTAATACACCATGTATAGATATATTTTTGAAAACACTGGCTCAGATATACATGATTTAGTCGGCACTAAAATTGGTCTTGTAAGTCATGATGATTGAATGTAAGAATGTGTCACAGATCAAACAGAAATATCGGGAATATGAACGTTGAAATATGGCATGTTTACTTACCAGCAGGTCTGGTAGTTTCTAGGTTCTTAATTCTAGATCTGAGTTCTGCCAAAGCCTCACGTTGTCTTGCAATGACTTGGTCATGCCTCTCTCCCCGACACTGGGCACCAAGTGATGTCATTTCTTGTGTTATACGACCCTGGATATAGACACGTGCACATAAATACTGAGTGGAGAAAAGGATGTATATGAGACAAGACTGACTGAAACTACCACTGATATGTACCTATACCAATTATATTATGCATCTGACTTGAATGTATATAACTTTGCTATGTACTTTCATTTTAACAGTATTGTTCCATCAAACCTTATTCCTTAAACTTTGATACAATCAATATCTCATTAATAAACACAAAGTTTTAAAACATCTTACTTCAATTCTATTCCTTGTGACAACCCCCCCCCCGCCCTTTACACACCTACCATTCAAGGTGAGTAGATGGAATGTTCAGAGATTTGATGTAAGTCTAAATCGCAAATCATTTATTCATTTCAAGTATTTACCTCTTTTTCTTTGTGATCAAACTGAGTGCTTTTCTCTTCCATCTCTGCTTTAAGACGAGCTTCAAGGGTCTTAATCTGAGTCTCTTTATCATTCATAGAGTTCTTATACTTTTGGATACCCAATTTCTGGCGATTCATCTCATCAGTCATCTCTTTGATTTCTGCAGCTTGTTTGTCAATAATTTGAGAGAGTTTCACCATTTGTTGCCTGACATCATTTAACTCATCGTGTTGTTCTCTCATCTTAACTTTGTTCCTTTCAAGTTCTTCCTTCTGAGCTTCACTCAACTCACCTGAATGAATAAATAGATTACAAGATTGTAAAAGACCATGGAAAGGAGACATTACTTGAAGGTCAAAGAACATGGCATCATTGCAAGATTTGTCAAGGACTCAAACGTATTGCATGTCTTATACACAGAGAGTATTTTGTTGCCGCTTCATCAGAGGGTAAAGCCTTGATTTAATGAATTATTCAATTAGCATGTTGTATTCTATCACATTCAAGATGAATGTATGCTATGATGATCTTGTAAGATGAATTATGCATGAGAGTATTATTTCTTATTCCCTTGTGTGATCACCAAGACGTAGCAAATTCCATTGAACATCTAATGAGTGTCAGCGCAGACAACACTGCTAGAGATTATGCTAGAGATCATCTCAAATTGTAACCATATATGTGCCAAAAGTATTTTTCAAAATGACAACTTGTACCAAAAATGTCATAAGGCATTGTGCCATGCTTCCAACTATTCTCATATCAAATATGAATAACATTCCAATACTTTTCGAGATCCATCAAAAATCTTAAAATAGCCATTTTCCAAGATGGCAACCATGTTTCTTTAATTTCTTTTTAGATTTTGACCGACATTAATATTCTGTATAATTTTCTACATTTAAAAGACATTAACATTGCAGTTGTTCCAACTGAAATACTGTAAAACTTACACTAAAATGACCATTGACCACAAGTTGCCATTTATAAATCAGTATGGACCAATGGTATTTGAGTTATTGACTGGACAGACAGATGTACGGATATGGGGACAGATGGACAGAGGCGTTCTTTATATCCCAAGAATTTTCTTTGATGGGATGAATATTAAGCTAGTTTCATTGCTTGCATGTTGATCATGTTATGGAGACGTATAACCATCTATCTTATTTCATGCATACAATCCCTTTTTATGTTACATCAATAGAAGTTTCCTTACCTGTCATGTCTGAGAGTCTGGCACTAGCCCCACTAAGGTCACGTCTCAGAGATAGAACCATATCTTGCTGCTCTACCAGCTGTTTCTTGAAGTCAGCATTTTCTTTCCTAGGGGTAGGATAATCATTATGATAAGGCATTGACTTAGCACTAGCACCAGGTATATATAAAGCACTATTAAACCAGTTTCGATCCCTTTCATGATGTACTTGATTAAATCCAGCTATTTTATTAAGATACTCAGCGTATTGTTGTTTACCCTGAATATTGTTCTCAACTCGCACTAATGCAGCTTGTTCTATGTTTTTATGAGACTTCTGTTTTGGAGTTCTAGGTGTGACCCAGTTTGTATCATCACACCAAACTTCTGCCTTTTCTCTTGCACTTAACTTCATTGTTTACAGGCATTTACAGATTTCTGACACTATTAATCCAAGTTTAATTTACTAAGACTCTAGCTCTGGCTTTCTATCTTCATTCATGTTGATGATAAATGCTTATCCATTTTTTGTTTGTAATTCAGTTGTTGTATCCATTTGTCATTTATATCTACATGTATGCTGACTATTTGGGAGAAAATCAAGTTAATCTCTATGTATGTACTGTATATCGTCTCAATATTGATTGTGCCCAACTTACTGTACAGAGCCAATTACTCACAACACAATGGTAACCATGTACGCAGAGTTAAGAATACCTTACACAAACATACAGACTCTCTGAATGAACACCTGAGACCTTAACTAAATAAATCCTATAAATTGGTCTTTGTGACATTGAGTTATTGAAACGTCCATTGTATTTGCAGTCAATTGAGCAACAAAACATATTATAAGAAAAATATTATTCTGAATTAAAGGGACAAAAACATGCTATTATCAGGTTATGTATGGACCAACAAAAAACTAAATAAAAAGTATGTTTACATATTTTAAGATCCATAATTGTCTCTGATATGACACTTTATATATTTGAAGAAAGGTAAATCACAAAATACAAGTTACCATGGTAGCATGATGGTTTCTTAACAAATATATACCATATTATGAAGCATAATGATATAGCAAATCACTTTTTTTTACAGAAGTAACCATTCTGCAGCCAAGATGTGACACAAAACCCAAACGGGGGTTGAATTATCAAGTAATAGCCTAAAATGAATAATATTCATGGACAATTGCGGGTATTTTGATTTGAGCAATCCCAATTCTAATTTTATCTGAAGGCATTTTGAATTCAGCAGCCACCTTAAAGACTCATTTGTCAGTAGAGGCCCTATGTCAAGGTAACTGGTGTTTGAGTTATCACCCAGACAGATGAATGGAAAGACAGCTTCTCTATAATTATGCCTAATAAACTTTCATGTGATAATGCATTATTATCAATTCTCTATCATCTGAAATCAATTTAATCCAATTGCACAATCCGATAATTAGGATGCTAGTTGATAGGGTGCACTGATAATTTGGCAATTTCATGCTCCTAATATCAATACATTTATAACAGACTTATTCTGCTGCCATGCGGCAGTAAACAACCAACAGAGTTTCAATTGTGAAATCATTTAGGGTATGGGCTGGCACTTGTTTTGTGGTATTGCAGGGGACTTTCAGGGACCATGTTAGTTACACCCAAAACCCCATTGCTCATCCCACTTTGGGTTTAATTACATAAATTATTTCAGGCTTTCAGTCTTACACTTTATATGAATGTTAAAATCACTGCATTTTCAACAACACAGTTTTTTCCATTTTTCAAAATGAATGATTTATCGATCATATTGTTTTTAACACAAATACTGTAGAATCAACACTAAAATGGCTTCCATTTTGGAAAGAGTGGCCATTTTGAAAACTGGCTTTTTGTGCAGAACCTGCCCTTCCAGGAGGCATATATATAAAAAATGAAAACAAAATTGAGGTATTGCTCAGACAGACGGATGGACAGATGTACGAAAGGAAAGGTGTTCTTTGTATCCGATCAAATTTTTTTTGATGGGAAATTAAATCGAATATTCCATTCTATTTATATTAAATACATGCATTCACATTCTATACAATGGAACAATTGGTTATAGTTAAATACTTGAATTGAAGAATATCATTTCATCATTTGTAAAGAAAATTTGAACTTATGTGGATGTTAAGGTTTCATTTATACAGTCAGAAACCTATGCTTGCAAATATTGCTGCAAAATTGGCATTGATTTAATTTCAATCTGAGAGAATTTCAAAGAATGATAATCAGAGAAATACCTTTTTTTTTTACCTTTTTCATGCAACATTGTAGATTTAAATGTAATCTTACCTCAGAGCAAGAATCACTTGCTCCATTGCAAGCACTTCAGGTCCAGGGGTCTGAACAATCACTTTGGGTTTAGGAGGGGGGACAGGTTTAGGAGCTGGCTTATTCTTCAGCTCCTGCATGGACTTTCTCAACCCTGTTATCTCAGCTTGATACTCTTTGTTCTTCTTCATCACCTTGTTAAGGCGTTCCTCCATCGCACAGATTGTGACCGAATGCTGTTTTATTTGCTCCTTATAACCCAACATCTCTGAGCTGTGAGATTTGCTCAGAGAATCAGAGTTTCCTTGGAGGTTGGATATTTCTTCTGCTTGCTCTGATATTGTCTTTTCTAATTGTTCCTTCATGTCAGCCTGAGAAATTAGTAAAAATGAAGAAATTACATGGTCAGTAAGCATCAAACTTCAATCATTACATATTATTGTATCCTATGGGTTTCAGGCACGATGTTTAAAATACAATCAATCCCAGTTAAAAGCCCGTACATACACATAAACCATAAAGATGTACAAGACTGAGTAACAACATTGCACACTACTTACATAAAGTTTCTTGTGTTCCTCTAATTCTTCAATAGATTTGGCAGCTTCAGCTAATTGTTCTTTGTTCTCATCCTCCATCTCCACCATGACTTTGCGCAGCTCATCAAGGTTACCCTGAAGTTCTTCATATTTGATCTTCTCTTGTTGGAGAGCATTTTCTCTCTTTTCCTGCTCTACCAGGCGAATCTCATCTATTGCTTTGTTCATCTTTTCCTCACCTGAAACAGAAAGAATACATGTACTGTAAAACGGGTATTGTTAGCGAGGGGTAATTGTTAGCGATTGTAAGCGATCGCTATAGTTTCGCTAAAAATTCAATTCGCTAAAATAAACCGGGCGCTAAAATTTGCAAATTCCCGGGAAACTACATGAATACTAGTATTTAAGGAGCTTTTCGTTCAGTGCTCGACTTCCAGTTTGTAATTTGAGATTAGTTTGGACTGAAAAATCAACGATTTTAAATGCTACCGTGATTTTGTGATTAGTCAGATGAGATTACAGTAGTTTGGACCAATACCATGTGCGTTAGAAGTCTTACATTTTGATAATTCCTCTGTCATGTCTGTTATTCATTCTTCTGCCATAAATGATAAAATTTCTAATGCATTTCGCTAATTTGATTTTTTAAAGATTAATCTTCATTTCGCTACAATTTCCCGCGCTAAAACCCCCTAAAATGGAAAAATCGCTAAAATTTCCCGGTGTCAAAATTACCCGTTTTACAGTATTTAATGATAACATACATGCTCATGATGTGGGTAGAGACATAACTGCAAAAGCAAAACTGTACTTGCAGGGCTGTACAGAGTGATACAGCAAGAGTAGTGCCAAATGCAGGGAATGGGGGGGGGGGGTTATGGTTACCAATTGTCATGTAGCATAAGTCAAGTAAGTAGGTATGGGGTTTTCCTTTTCAGATATGATGTGATGTGTTTGGCAATATTTCTTTGTAAATAACCATGCTCTTTGCAATTATGGGTTGACAACTTGGTATACAAACTGTACCTTCAAGTTTTGCTTTCTCCACAGCATCTGTCAACTTATTCTCCATATCCTTTTGTACATTCTCCAGCCTCAATTTCATCTCTTCCTTATGTTGGCTTTCTAAATGTTTCATATGATTGTTCAGACTGTCCTTTTCCTTTAGAGAGCTCTCCCATTTGGAAAATAGTGCTAGAATATGTTTCCCAGGTTCTGAAATATGAATAATACATGATTAGCTGAGATAAAAAGCTGAATGCATGCAACTTCAGTGTTTTAATTATGATACTCCTATAAGTACAAGGTGCTATATGTGTAAGATAACTAAGTTTGATATCACTGAAGAATTCCCTACAGGATACAGGGAAGGGTCAATTTGTAGCAGTATATCTCCAGTTCTGTAACCTCTAATTATCATAATAGTCAGAGAATCAATTAGATTCAAGATTTTTCTTTGTGTAATTTTATTCATTGAATGGATACTTTCAGTTCAGTTCAAAGTATGCCTGTTGCTATATTGATGAAATAAACATTAATCAGACCTTCCAATAAAAAACAACATAGGATGTCCTCATCAAGAGGCAATGCTTCTTTCAGATCAATGGCAAAGATATAACAGAGACATTCTATTGATATATCTAGTAACCTCTATTGGTAGAAAATGTATTGAGATAATTAAAAATGCACCATAATACAAATGTATATATAAAAACATACACTACTCATGTTTTTGTGAATTTTGCAAATGCCTCAATTCATGCTACAATACAACTTTAAATTTGAGCCACCTGAATTTGCAAGTTTACAGTCATGCAAATATACATGAATTCAGGTTGTCCGCAAAATCGTGTTTTACAGTACGGAGGTAACCTGTACATATGTATAAATTTTGAAATGCTTACCATCATCAGATATTTTTGTATTTACACCACACTCCTGTAGAGCGTCTTCAATCTTCTTCTGCCATTCAATTTCACCTTCTAAAATTTTCAACAGACTTTCTTTAATCCACTGTAAGGACTCATCAATCCTCACACTGTTCAGTAAACTCACTTCTGACTTCAATTTACCAGCTAATCGACCTTTTTGGCCTAGTCTTGTATTTATACTAGTGAGATGTTGTTTTAATTTTTTGATGCCTTCATTAACTTCCTTCTTAGATGATTTTTCTAGTTTTAATGTTTCTTTGAGGTCCATGATCTGACGACTGAATTCTGTCCGTTCATCTATAGTTTTCTTGAGTTGATCCAGGAGATCACTGTCACTTATTTCATCATCAGGGGCTCTAATTCCAGGGGTTGAATAGGTTACTTGTATCACACGATTTCTAAATCTTTCAGACTGAAATGAAATTATATAATGATGAGGATAATCTACATGTATTAGCTTTAAAACTAAATTCATGACTGAAAGCTGGCTACGCCCCTGTAGAATTCAGGAAATAGAATTATAGATAAAAAATAAAATTTGGTGAGTGAACCAAATGGAAAGGTCCAAGTAAAATCATGCCATGGTAAAATGTAATGTTAATCCAATGACTAAAATGAACACTTGTTTTCATCAAATTCTGTCAACTTTTCCAGATTCATTATTAATGATGTCATGAGATGATGTCATCGCCAAACACTATAGACTGGCAATGCATTGCATAAGTTAGCTATATTGCCCCCTGACCAGTTAGAATCTTAGGAATTCAGCTGAAGTTCTAACAATCTGTTTTCATATTTCCATTTTTGTAATAATCTTCACATTTAATCATTTACAATTTTAAACTGCTTTGATAAAACATATATTTCATTGCAAGCCAAACCCTGATCTGTATTCCAAACCCAGAGCCCTATAATAACCAATAAATTGATATAGAAGCTTGATATGCAAAGATGCTAATTGTTCTCTTTTCATTTGTACAACATTCTCCAAATATAAGTCTCACAATCTACTGTGCCAGACTTGAAAATTATGGAGTTAATGGTTTTTGGCATGCCTATGGTCCTGGTAAAGCTTCTGCTGTATATGAAGATACAATGATGTATATACATAAAGAAGGTGTTAAATTATACTACTGAATGAGTGTCTACATGTTATAAACTACAGGGTAGGTCATGAGATGGGTCAGGGTTTGTCGTGCAAGAGGAGTTATGTTATTATCTCAGCTCCACATACCATAACTCCTATATACACTATCTACAGATCAGGGCAGCTACATCACTATCTCTTTGAGCCCAACTTCTCTTTCAAAGTCTCGACCAAGTTGATGTCAGATATTTCTACCCTGGGTGATTTCGCACCAGGTGTAGAGTATATTGATTGAAAAATCAAGTTTCGGAACCATTTGAACTGAAAATGTCAGACATGCAAATTGAAAAAAAGGTCATGCTACATACACATGCATGCAATTAACTCTTTCACTGCTAGCTAGAACTGATTCTCGGAATGTGTGCTGATAAAATTGTGCACCTTTTAAATAAATGTAACTGTAATTTGCATAAGGTTAAAATACAAATTGAAATTGAGATCCTGGTGATAATAGACACTATACTACTGGATGTGTCTAAAATGGTTGAGCAAGAGAATGAGAGATAACAAAGATGAGAATTCTAGCAGTAGAAGAGTAATCACAACAGTGAAAATGCCATGCACCAAATAAAAAGTGAATTGTTAAATGTTAAGGAGCCTAAGAGTATCAAAATACACCAATATATTTTTTTTAACAAAAGTTTTTATCAGATAAGAATTTCAGTTTTAATGAAATTTAATGAAAATGAGAAATATGGCATGGCAACTTAACAGAGTAGCAAGTCCTACCGAACAAACATATTTCATCAAATTGGTCATTTTGAACTTTTCGGGATAAAAAAATAACAAAGCAGAATTGTCTTCTGTAAGCAAAGATACGCTTGATGTATATAACTCAAATTGGGCATGTTATATTCAAATGATAGCCTTAGAGAAGAACTGATATGGCATATCAATTTGAGCAGCCATTTTCAACACAGAATAGCATATTATCATAAAGTGGGCTTCCTTTAAGTTTGGATACTAATTTGGAAATTCCCTTTTAATCAGAAGTATCATTACTTTAAAATATGACTTCCATGTAAGTTGATAATGAGTCATATAATTTAGGCAAAAGTTTCATTCTTATGGGAGGTCGTTTCTTATACTGAATTTTTAAACAAAAATAGTGGCCACTTTAATTGATTTGCAATACTGAGGATTCTTTCTTGAGCAAAGGATGCTCACAATCTATCCCATGTAATATGAACTAGATCAGACAACTGGAATGAATTTAGTGGGCATATTGATAATTCCTTCTCAAGAAGAGGTCCTACTCCCACAAGGCGATAAAATTTAAACCATGCAAATCGGACAACCACCCAGACACACAAGGAACAGACATGTTGACACATGGATGGATGGACAGCTACTCTACAGGGTGTCAAAAAACAACGGCACCCCCCTCTACAGCAAAAATTTCTGAATGTTCAATATCGTGTCATACCTCATTTGAAAGATAATTTAATTCTGGAGTTACTCCTCAAATTTCATTTAATAAAACTTTATATTAAAAAAGCTACATTGTTTTTAAGTTTGCTACTTCGGTACTTTGTTTGCTGCTCTGTACTGGTTAAAGGTGAAATCTTTAGAAAGTGGAATATGAAAGAATTAGCCCAGATTTCAACTGCACTGGACATATGGGTTCAGTTCTGAAAAACAGGGTATAGGAACTGATGGACAAAGAGCCTTTTGAAAAAAGATACAGTAAGGATGAAGAATGTGAGGAATGTGCTTAGAGGATTATGCAATGCTACACCTTTATCTGAATTTTAATTGAAATCATATCCGTCCAGATAAGCTGCTGTTTGAGCAGCAACTGGTGGTCATACCAACTACTATGAATCAGCTGTAAATCTGTATAATTATATGATATAAAGCTGAAATTTCTCAGGTAACTCCAGAATTAAATTGTCTTTAAAATGAGATATGACACACCATGTAACATTGAGTACTTTTTGCTGTAGAGGGGGGTGCCGTTGTTTTTTGACACCCTGTATATCCCTATATGAACTTTGTTCAGTAGGATAATTAAAAATAATGTAATATAATATGTCTAATGTGCCTTGTGTTACTACAAGTACTGTGTGCAAATACAAGAAGTGCAAAAACATCTAAACACAAATGACTGTTTACAGAGGAATATCGAAATTATAAACCAAGGCCATAGAAAATGTCATATTTTCATAATACTGTGTTAAATATAATATCACACAATAAGTATCATGAAAAATGAAATCTTCAACATACATCATTTGACCCAAGAGAAAGCCCACGTTTGACCACAATGCAACATTTAAAGCACAATTCAACAATGGAGGTTACTCTTACCCTAGTTGAGTTACCAACAACTTGGTTGACATATCTATCAACCTCAAGTCCTTGCAACTTTTATAACAAACAGAAAATAATTTGATGTTTGATAGTCATTATTTATCTCATAAGTGGAACTCCATATTATGCAAACTAAACTTCTATCAGACTCAGTTACTGTAGTTATTTGTGTTCAATACCACATGATGACCAGAGATGTACAGTAGTATTGTTATAATTCACATATAAGGTGAAGAAAGGTAAAGCTACACTTCAATCCACACAGGGACCATGCAGCACAAATGTCGCAACATATTCAAGTTGGTCTCTACTTGGCGACTTAACAGCAAGTATATTACCTTCTTAGATGCTTGTTCAAGGTCCACTCTGACTACTCTCTCTGCTCGCTGCATGTCTAAGTATTTGGATTTGGTTTGATCCAGTTCCAGTGATACCTTTTTGATGATCTACAATTGAATATGAAACAAACTGTTACCACTTAGTGCCATGTAACAAACAACGATATGCAAAATGTATTTGTAAAAATAGGGTCTCTCAAAATCCCTTCCGGTAGTTTTCAACTGAATGCATTATATTCTGTTCTGTTTAGCCATATACAGTAGTATGTATTTTTGCACATGTATTTATTAAAACACCAACATACCTCCTTATCATCATACATCTGAATCTTGAGTTTCTCCATCTCCTTAGTCATGCCACCTATCAGCTCTTTCTGCTCTTGGACCTTGTTCTCTGTTAGTTTGAATCTCTGTTCATAGAAAAACACAATTGGATAATACAATCAATTATTGTAACAACTGAAGCTTATTGGGCCAAAAATGATATCCCCATTGCACGGAGTAGGTAATATGAGTTAAAAACAAAACACTAATTTCAGACTTACATTTCTTAGACTGATGAGTTCTTTCTCTCTTGCATCCTTCTCCTCATCCACTTGTTTATTCTCCTTCAGCCTTGCAAACTTTGTGGACCAGGCAGAAATCTGAATGTCTTTTTCACGTAAACTTTTCTTCAGCATATCCATGTCTTTTGTAAGTCGGTTAATGGTCAAATCCTGAAATCAGAGGTAGCTAATTAGAAACAGCACTTGTGATGCAAATCATTTTATATTTATCTCTAAGACAAGGTTATAACTCACTATAAGAAAGATTCCATGTTTTAAATGAACATCACTTTCAAGTTTCAAGTTTGAAAGCCTCTTGCATCGATGACCATATCAGGAGCAGATACATGTATCTTGGCACTTTGCCTTGGGTACAATGGCATCAGATGTTTCCTTGTACTAACCTTCCCGGATTGGTGGGTAAGGGATATAAGGCATGGATTTAAAAAGTAACTTCAAAATAACACTCAGTATTAATTATATAATGACCTCTGAAATATTTGAAATTGTGTATAACTCCTAAAGTGAGTCAGAGAAATGCTTGGCAAGACAAGTAATCTCTAAAAATGAACATATAAGAAAGCAGAAACTTGCATACTGTACCTTATTGGACATATCCCGCTGCATCGTAGTAACAAGGCCAGAAGTTATATTCTTATCCTTTGTTACCATATCAAGCTGACTTTTCAAATGGCTAGCTTCAACAATAGACGTGTTTATTTGCTCATTACTGCCCTTTTCTTTCTTATTATTTTTGATACAACGAAGCTGAAAAACAAAGACAAATTTAGACAGCAGGAGTTAATTTGAAAATCCATTCTTCAATAATTTCAGTAAAGGCTTTGATATAAGAGTATAAGGACTTTATAATGATTGTAAGCAATGTTTCCTGTTTTCACATAAACCGCATGTTGTTTTAGGCACTTTTCAACTTTTCCATGTTAAAATTATGATTTCCATTAATTTTGCCTGTTGTTTACATTTATTTAGCCTGTTGTGAGAAATTCTAGTGAAACCCCTGCTATACTGTACCTCATCTTGCAAAGTGCTGACTTCAAGCCTCTTAGAAAGCACCTCATTCTCAAGTTGCAATAATTTTTGGGTGACATCCTGGTCTGAGGCATACCCCGTCTTAGTTTGTGATTGACGCAGTTTATTTTGGAGATCAGCAATTTCTTCACGGAACTGTGCAATTATTTGATCTTTACGGTTAGATTCTCCTTCAAATAATCGAAGTCTGTTGACCTCATCACCCAATGACAAAATTTTCTGTTCCTGCAAATGTTAAACAGTCCAATTTGAATTTATATTGGAAAGACATTATAGACTGCTCTGAAAGAATCACCATGCATTAATGAATGGAACAACACAATGAACATAAATATTAGTCTTATTAATTTTGTACTTTAATAATTCTGTATAACTTTTAGAGACAGTTCTCACTCAAAAACATGTCAATATTTTCTCAGGCATCTGGAAATGGCAACATCAATTTGATCATTGCCTTGATGTGTAGCACTTATATAAAATCAAACATTATTTCATCGATGGTAAAATGCAAGTACATCATTGAATTGACATACCTTCTCCTGCAGCAAAAGTATTTCATTGGTTGGAGAGTTCCCCTGACTTCTTGCACCCCCTGGCCTGCCAATCCACCCTCCCCCAGATATGCTCCTATGCTGCACTGGGGGGCTCCCATGGGGACTTCCAGTCTTCTCCAAATTTGATTTACGACTCCCAGCACTAATTGGCCTTGCCCTGATTGCTGTAGGTGGGCGTGGCAAGGGGACTGTTTGTGTTCCCCATGGGGAGGAATCGACTGTGTTCTGGGTAGAGCTGAGATGTGGGAGAGGGGAGCGTTGAGTAAATGAAGAAGTTTGATCTTCTATGACAGTCAATGGTTGAGTATATGTGATTTGCTGTACAGGACGGTATGATAGCTAGAAGTATAAAAACAAACATTTAATATCTAAATATGTAGCCGTGTTACGTTATTTTCTCTTTGAACATGTTGTTCTTAATTTAAGGTTACATATATAATCTTATTCAGTTATTAGGAAGAATTATGCTTGCTGTTGTGAACAGAATAATATACAGTAAAACCTGTATATTTGAACACCTGGCTAATCCAAACACCTCCAAATCTGAACACTTTTTCAGTCCCATATTTTCCTCCCATTGACTCCAATGTTAAAAAGAACTTGAAATGTGAAAACTTCCCAATTTGAACAGTGAACAGTCATATTTGAAAAATTAACCTGTTTGATCTGAATAATTTTCATAAAATATCACATGTTACATACAAAATTGCTCAAATACAGTATTTGAAATTAAAGCTGATTTGTCATGATATAAAAACATTTAGAAAATAACTTAAATGGTCTCAATCATACTGGGACTTTTCAGCATGACTAGTCAAATTACCTGAATGCCATAAAGCTATGAGGTCAAAGGAACTATAAATATTTATTGAGAATGTGTTCACTTTTTTTTAGCCGTCACAATAGTGTTCGGATTAGACAGGTTTTACTGTATGTTACTACATTATATACTCCATCACCTACTACTGATAAGCATGTAGTCTAACATCAAACCCTACATGCAACCCTCCATTTTCTCTCAAATACAGACTGAGAAATATCTTGAATGTTGTTGGGAATTGAGATACATGGAATTAACTGAATATGTATTATTCTTGCTTTTATGTAAAGGGAAGTAGAAAACCTAAAACATATACTAACATGGCTCAACAATCTCAATGTAGGCATAACAGGCAAATTGATGTTTACTCAGATGTTCAAATATTTCTATTCTAATAACAATGGTTGTTAATTTATTCTTTATTCCATTCATGTGATCCAGGAGCAAAAATAACATTTAGACTTCATGTTTCTGTAAATTTCCCAGATATATAAATATTAGAAAGAGTTGAGTTCATTTAAAAGAAACATTGAAACAAATTTATTCTCAAATAAAACATTGTTCCACTTGATTATTGTAACGGAATAATTCTATATTGATTTCTGACTCCACTCATCCACAAACATAGCACAACATTATCTAATCCATCTGTTACTATGACAACACATTATTGTGATAATGGAGCCATAATCCTTGTGAACTTTTACTCCTAACATCATTTGACTCCATATATGTATGTATGTATAATTTATTTGCATCTTTTATAAAAAGACAGTTACATTGCATACAGTATATAATTAGGAATAAAGGTATAAAAATACATATATTATTTAGTACCATTTACAAGAATGATATTATCATACCACACTACATGTGATTAGCCTGGTAAATGCCATTGTATGAGATCAATGAATTGCGCTTAGTATACATTTGAGTTACTATTCCTGAGATAAAAACTAGCGTATCAATGTCATCTATTGACACTTGAATCCCGAGAGACATTCTCATTTTCTGGTCATTTGACATTAAATGCCTTTCATTGAAAAATATTGCCAAGGGTCTTCTAACATCAGCAAGTGCTTCACAATGCAACATGAAGTGCTCAATTGTGTCATAACAAGAATTGCAACAAGGACACATCGATTCGGAGAATCTGAAACAACCGGTTTGCAAATGTAACATGAGCTGGCATGATTTTTTCATCATTGGAAATTCTTGACAAATTTTCCACCAAATAGTAGGGCATAAAGTAGGTGTGGTCGTTAAAGATTCACAATACCATTTCAAAGAACTATATAATGAGCACATGATTCTTAAACTCTGTAAATCAGAGTTACCGACGATCATTTTTACCTTTTTGCTCCAATTGAATTTCGACCCATATTGCGCTGTACCTAACATTTTTACAACACTACCTCTCATATTGTACCTTACAACTGTGTTCCACATACTAACTAGAGGTGACATAGAGTGCCCAACACCATTCATTATTTGAACGAGTCTGTGGATTGCAACGCATTTATAAATATTACTCATAGGTAAGCTCAAGATTCCCCAGAAGAACATTAACCTATATATATCTATTTTCCTGGATATCTTACTCAAACCTAATGGAGCTGTAGCTATTGGGTTGGCAGACCCCTTCGGTAGGTTTTGAACTCGTCTACCAATCTCTCTGTGTACTATTTCAAGACGTTCTACTTCCTGTGGGGTGTACTGTATAACGGCGCAACCATACAGCATTGTGTTAAGGGAATACGTAGTATATAGTCTACTGGCAGTGAGGGGACTAAGACCCCCTGTCAGAGAACCGAGGCCTAACAGTGAAAAGAATTTCCGTTTCCCCCTGCTTATGACATCTGTAATATAGTCGGTACGTTGGCTGAGTGGGATTCCAACATGAATCGCGCCAGTTTTCAACGTGATTGTATCATGGCCAAGCTTAACTGGTTCGTTTATTGGAAGCTTATTTCCGAAAGCTAACATCACACATTTCCCTGGGTGGAATTCTATTCTCCACATCTGACTATATTGCCATACGGCATCCAGAAGATAGTTCATGTTTTGGACACTGGGTGCCATCAGTGTCAAGTCATCTGCGTAGGCTGCAGCAGAGACATCTATATGTCCTATTGTAAGGCCCTTTTTTAACCCCGTGACATCATTAAGAAGTTCTGCTAGGTAATACTGGTAGACCAACATCGACAAAATTCCTCCTTGATGGACCCCCTGCTGTACGCTGAAGCAATCTGATTGCTCACCAGCACTTAAAACCGCGCATTTGTACGTTTTAAACGACTGGTACATTATTCGCCAGAATTTGCCATTAATACCACAGTGATATAACTTGTATAGGAACCCATCGATCCACATGGTATTGAAGGCTTTACGGATGTCTAATAGACAACACAGGACAGTCCTCCCTTTGTCAATATTGTGAGCGATTGTCTCTTGTACCAGAAAAGAGCTGTGTAGCGATGAGCACTTCTCTATTGAAGCCCCCTGCAATTGCGGTATATGTTTCAGCAGGGCGTCTTTGCTACGCATTAACACCACGTTATCGAACAATTTCCTCAGAATTGTCATAAGGGTAATATCCCTATAGTTATCTCTTTCTATGGGACTCTTATTCCCTCCCTTAAAAAGAGGCACTAGGAGTCCCATGCAAAAATTACTTGGAATATACTCGTGTTTACAAATCATTACAAAAAGTTTAGTTACAACCTTAATTAGATTCTGACCACCGTATTTTACGTGCTCTGCAGAAATATCATCCCAACCACATGCCCTGTTACTATTTAAACACATAATGGCTTCCTGCACCTCTTGGGGACTTATTACTCGATCAAGAATAGTATTGACATTTCCCAGTGATTTAGCACATAGTGTTGGTATCTGTGACTCTACGTGTTTTCGAAATGCTTCATTAAAGTGCGGGCTTTCCTTAGGAGATGCTAGATTTTGAAAGTGAGTTTTCCAGGCATTTCTTACATCGCTAGGATTTGAGAGAAGATCGTCATTATCGTCTCGAATAGTTTGGACTTTATCACATTTAGACCCCCTACTCTTTGTCACCAAATACCAGTATAAACGCTGGTCAAGGAATTAGAATAAGGAATATAGAAGTAAAGGTCTCTCATAATCAATACAATCATTGTACTGAATAGGTTATTTTCTTTGATACAATAAATCATCTGTGGTAAAAAAATTAAATCATGAGATTTTCTTTGCATTTTTATGAAAAATAGTATGATCCCATCAACGACTTTTGCAAGCCCATCCAATAATACAAATCCCAAGGAAACTCATTACCAATGGCACAAACTTATTGCTGTTTACATTTTTTTAACTTCAAATTTTAATTACTTGCTTTTTATAATTAATGCTACCTTCACGTTTAATTTAAAAAAAACAATGAAATTGTAATACAAATATAATCCATGTAGTACAAACAAAAAATGGTATAAAACTACTGTGATTTTATGGAGTAACAAATCTAGAAAGCTTGAAAGGTGAAAAATCTACTGTGAATTTACTGTAACTAGGTGAGCATGCATTATTTCAACCTTTGATAACAAACTAATTTCCATGCTTCATGCATACATGCAGCTTTGGGGCATCTATTACCAATGCAAATATCCCTTATACGAACCATATTTACATACATCACACACCTGATATTTCACATCCTCCGATCACAGGGCTTCAAAATCCAGAATATATTCTTTTTTTACCCCCTGCGATAAGCAGTTAGCATTTCCCCGATTAAGAACTCGCAATCTGATTGGCTGTCGCAACACTGCGACAGAAATCATGTATAAATCACTGCGCACAATTAGATCACGTGATTCAGTTTAATCGGGCGCTTCCAAATTGGTTATAGCAGGGGGAAGAAGGAGGTACGGATTCTAGATACCTGCTTAGGAGGATGGATATTTCACTGACAGATTTATAATCAATAAATTCTGTATAACTTCTTCAGTATTTTTGCATTTAATTGCTATTAGATCCTTTATTCCTATGGTGTTATAGCTTTGTGACAAAACATTTCTAATCTTATATGGAACTGGTCTGGTACGAAAGTGAGTATTTTGATTTGTGTATCTGGTTTGAACACAAGAAATAACAAGTGAGATGATTCACCGAGTATAAAATAGCAATTAATCTCCGTTGCCTCCATAAATCCATGCCATGCAAACAACATCAACCTATGCATTATTAAAGTATCATTCCAAACACCCAGGCAGCAAAACAAGGCCCTGAACAAGATGCAAACTTTGGCTGAGCACCACATTGCATATCATGGAGAAGGGGGAACTACATAATGTGAGGCTAGATGGGCCAATAAGAAAATTAATTGTGACGTTTGTAGTTAGATATAATATTACTCCTCTTTGTTTTCTACTTCTGCATGGTTCAAACAGAATTTGCCTTAACTGGCTCAAGAATCCAGAATTTTGATCAATTTCAGTAGAATTTCCAGTGAAATTAACACATCTTCTGAAACTACTAATAATCA